AAATAAAGTTGAAGTGAAATTTTAGGTAAACTCCTCAATATATAAAAATTATTTTTATTATTTATTTAATTATATATATTATATTAATAAAATTATTATGCAATATTTTAATTTAAGATATTAATTTAATAAAAATATTATATTTATATATAATTAAGATATAATTTATATTAAAAAATAAAAACTAATGAATATTAAATTAAAATTATTAAATTAATTTTGAGTAAAATCAAATCAATTGCAGTTCCATACATATGCAAGTCAGATCGAATCGATTGTAATTTTATACATATACAAATCAAGTTGAATATAAAAATGATATTTTAATATTAAGTTGGGTCAAGTTCGAAAATTTATTTTATAAAATCATATCGAGTTTAAAAAGAACAAAAATTCATATTGATCCAATTCATTACTATCATTATATAAATTATTTAATCTCTCAAATCATAACAAAATATATCATATTTGATAATCTAAAAATAATTATTACAAATTATGCATTTAAAATAATTTTAATAAAAAATTATGACTGAACTCAAGTCTAAAATATTTACATTTTAAAAAATAATTTTTATCAATTAAATTAATTTTTTAATTGTTAAATCGAATATTTTAAAAATAATATTCTTCAATTTGGCTAAGTACCAATTTATTCTTCAACAGCATCAATCGTGCCGACCGTCCATACAGGCATTGACTACAAGGACATATAACTAAACAGATACCAAATGCAAACCCATGCATTCTTGAATTCTCGAATAATAGAGGTATCCGTACAGTGTTCGAAAACTGATACGGGAAAGATCGTAGATTCGGAGTTTGAAATGAGCATTAATTACCTGCGCATGGATTGCTGCTGAGCTCGATCACCGTAAATTTAACTAATACTTCTAAATTAATCTTCTTTCTTTCGTATTTTTTAGAAGATTGCTTATAAGAGTGAGGAAGAATAAATTTCGAGAAACATGTTCCTTTTTTATTTTCCTATCACGCGTTAAGGCCATCCCCATGCCGACCTGCCATTTTTAACCTTTTTTTTTTTTTTTTCATGTTCTCGAGAGAGTGAGAGAGTACGACTGCTCCACGTACATTTTGCATGCATGAAAACAAATCAGTAGTAGGACTTGAGAAAAAATATCAAAAAAATTAACAATTGATTTAAAATTATAATATTTTATTTAGATAAAATTTTTTATTTGATTTGAATTAAGTTTGAATATTAAATATATATTAAAAATTTAAATTTAAAATTTAAAATTTAAAAAAATTAAATTTTATATTTTTATTAATTTATATATATATATTTTAAAATTTTTATAAAATAAAATAATTATTTTATATTTAAATATTTAATATATTTAAATTTTATATTAAAATAATTATAAAAATTTTAACTTTTAAAATTTTTTAAATCAAATCAAATTAATAAAATTCAATTCATATCAAATTAGATTATATAAAAAAATCAATTTAAATTAACATCATATTTTAAAATTTATAACATTATACAAAATTTAAAAACAATTAAATCAAATGAGATATCCAGAAGAAATGAGATATTTAGAAGAAGTTGAAGCTACCAAAGAAGTAGTAAATCCGGCAGCTGACCACTATTCGTGATTTTCCACGTGGCAAAAAAGCTGACACAGCCTCATTGCTAACCATGCAGTTGTGGCTGAGATAAGCTGTCTTCCTAGTGGTCAGGTGACTTGTATGAATCACAATATTTTCTGCAGTTTAGTGGGGCCAAGAAGATCCCCTGCGATCCTGTTCGGTTGTAAGGATTCAGTACATCCAGCTGTACCCTGATATCATCAACACTTCGAGGACCTCCACAAAATCAAAGCCGTGAGGGCCCACACCTGCGCAAAATCATACAATGATGTATAATGTGTCCGGCTGTACACCAGATTCAGAACCTTTATCGTACACATGTCAATATCAAGAGCAGTCAAAGGACAGATTTTAGATATTTGTGAATCTGTGATTCGTAACCACATGATCAGATGACTAAAGTGAAAAAAGAAAAGAGTTGGTCAAAAGATATATGACTGAGGTCATCAGGAAGACTCACTGAGTCAAGCAAGACATTGTTGCTTGTTGATTACTCGTTTTGACCACCCAGGATTTTGGATTTTGGCAGTCAACTTTATTCTGCTCTTTTAAATTTTTATGCCTTTTTTTTATTTTTTTGCTTTTGGCCAATAATCCAAAGGGGCAAAAGCCTTCATGAAAATGGATAAATTTTTTTTCCTTACCAAAAAATATATGGATAAATTTTCTATCTCTTGTGTGTATTTTTATGAAAAATATTTGTGATTAATTATTACATAAATTCAAAATTTTAATCATAATAACTTCAGAATCATCAATACTTGTTGATTTTACTGTATTATCAAATTAGTTAAATCTCATTTTCTTTGATTTATTTTTCTATCAAAATTGTCATATTAATGAACTAATAGTTAAGGTGTCAATCATATAAATTGGATTGAGTTTAAATCAAATCATTTTAGATTGAATTATTTTGATTTAAAAAATTTTAAAAAATTTTATGTTCAAATTTTATTAAATTTAAATGTTATTTATTATTTAAATTCAAATTATCATATTCGAACTATTTTATATTCAAATTATTAAGTTTTAAAATTAAATTAATTTAATTTTAAATCATTTGAGTTTTAATCATCTTAAAATTATTTTAATTCAAATTCGGATCACTTTAACTTTTGATTAAATGAGTTTCAATTTTTTTTTATCAAATTGAATTGAATTAAATTCAAACTCAAATATATGGATCTGAATTTTTTTAAATTTGGATCATATTTGATCGCTCTAACTAATGGTGCCTAGCCCATTGATTATTATTTCTTCAAGCTTTCGGTATAAAATTTTCAAACTCTTTGAATATTGTGTACTATTTCTCGTACCAATAGTTTTTAAAAATTTACTGTCACAACAAATTAATTGGAAAATTTAAGACACAACTTAAAACAATTTATAGTATTATTTTGTAGACGTGATTACACAATCCTGACTTTATTTAATTACAGTTACAAAATATTAATTCATAATGAATTGATATATTTTATTGTAAAAATATTTTAATTAAATAAATTTGTTGATAAAGTTTCTTTCAATTTAAATTTTGTTAAAAAAATACTACGCCCTAATAATAAAATAAGAAAAAAAAAACAGTTTATTGGATCAAAGTAACAGATAAAAAAAACAGTCTAATAAATTTATAAATCTCAGTGAGAAAATAGAAAATTATTATTAAGATAAAGAAAAAAAACGGTGATACTACAAAACCCGACAACCATGTGTTTAAGTATGTAGCATGGCATATCGATGGTGCAGTTGAATCATACTGAGTTAATATATTAAGAAATTTAAGTTTGAATTTGATTTAAAATATGTTGTATGAAATTTGGTTTGAGTTTAATTGAGTTTTAATTTTTAAATTCAAATTTGATTCGAAATAAAAATTAAATTATTTTCACTTGCTTGATTAAATTCATTTAATAAAAAATAAACTTGATTCTCATACTCGATTTTAATTTGATTATGTGTTTAAACTTAATCTCGGACTCAAATAAATATATATAAGAATAAACTAGTGATTTTTTAATTAAAATAATAAAAATATTAATATTTAAATTTTTAATTAAGCACACAAGTTATTCAAATAAAATGTTAAAATGCTTTAATTTGATTTACTTGAGAAATTAAATTGCTTGAGTGTGAGCGTGATTCAATAATGATTAAGTTAATTTTAAATAATTTATGAATATTGATATATTAATTTAACAATTATTATTATTATCATTGTTATTATTATTATTATTATTAGTCTATATTGGTGTTTTCAATAATTATTTGGTACCAACCTTTTGTGAACAAATAAAGTTATAAAATCTTTTCACTACTTTTTTTTTTTTTTCCAAATACTCCAACTTAGATATTCAAAGCTACCATATCTTTGACCAAAAGTGTTAGAAGATAGTCTTAATTTGGCATCTCATATGTATGTATATATTTATAAAAGACATCGTACTTTGAGATAAAAAATAAAAGTGTTAAAATGTAAATCTCAAATATTATTTACTAAGAATTATAAATTAATTAGACTATACTTCATATTTGACAATTCATTTTTAATACTACTTAAAGAATTTATATTTGATTTGCTATTAATAAATAGATATTATAATATATAATTATAGTAGATCAAATATAAACTATTAATTAAAATTCAAAATATTTTTAAAGATGTTCATAATTCAGTTTTTAATTAATTTCATTCGATTAATTGATCAATTATCGAATCAATTTTAATCAATTAATAAAAATGATTTAAAAAAATTTTTAATTTTCAATTAATTCGATTCAAAAATCAAATTAACTGTGTTAATTAAAATTTTAATGAAAATATAATATAATATAAATATACAATGAAAAATATATAAAATGAATTATTTAATTTTATAAATTTAATATAATATTTTGATATTTAAATATTTTATTAGATAATTTTACTTAGTTTATTTAAAATATGAGATATTAAAAGTTTAAAATATAATTTAATTTAAATGTATTTAAAATTAATTGTTCGTTTCAATGTTTTTATATTTTCATATTCAATTTATATTTTAAAGCAAATCAAGGCGGTTCTGATAACAAAATTAATTCCTATCAACGGTCCTGATTTCAGATCTCAAACCCACGATCATTACCCGATATTTTCTCCACGAACCAAGCCTATGCGTAACCCAAAGCGGCCATATGTCTCAAGCCACCAATATGCAAAGCCCGGGCCTCGCGCCTAACCCACAGCCTTCCCTTAAATTTACTACGATTAACGCTCTCCATTCTTATTTCTTACCATTTAATTTAACCGTGGTAAAAAAGTTAAAAAAAAAAAAAAAACCTATCTAATAAATAAGCCACCTTCTTAGCTTCAGTCTCTGGCGCTTACTTGCTTCTAGCATGCCATCTCTCACCTGAAGGTATATCGACGTTTCGGGACTACCTTAAAGGAACCGCTACGTGAATCAATGACGGTGTTTTCCGGCAGTAGACAGGTGGTTCCCGTCGACTGCGAGGCTGAAGTTTCTCAGCGTCTTCTCGAAGCTTCGCTATCCGGCGATCTGAGGTCCGCTCTCGAATGCATCGCCGATCCGTTCGTCGACGTCAACTTCGTCGGCACCGTTTGCCTAAAAACGAGGAAGACCGAAGTCGTTTTGAGAGAAGAATCCGCGAGTGAGGTCCGCGTGGAGTATGAAGAGTTTAAAACGGACGTAACCGCTCTTTTCCTCGCTGTTCATGTTGGAAATGTCGCTCTCGTAAAGAAACTACTGGTAAATGCAATAGAAAACTTTCGTTTTGTTTTCTTTTTTTTTGGATAATTTTGATCGGCTTTGTGCAACCTGTTTCATTCACGTTGCGTTTTAATTGATTGTTTTTATTTTATTATTTTTACTTGAAATTTTAGATTTTTCAACACTCTCATTTCCGTTGCCGTTTTGTTTGTGATTCTCGAGCGTTTTAAGCTACTCTGCATTTCGGTGATAAGAGTTCAAATCTTTGAGTTGCTTGTACGGATTTTAACTATTTTTGAGAATCTTTTCGTCGGTTTTTTTTAAAGATTTTTTTGGCTGAATGTTTTGAATGTTTTAGGCCAGGAGAGTCAGATCGAAGCTTTTCAAGTCTCCATTTTTAACCACATTGTCGAAGATTTAGTAAAAGTCAAAGGTTTTTAACCATTGATTTGGTGATTTTGAAGCTTTTCACTTAAACTCTCTCTAATACTCTGGCTACTGAGAAAAGAAAAGTTGCAGAGGATAAGATACTCACTTTGAAACGAATTTTTCAAATTCAAATTTCAACCGACTAGTTTGGTGATTTCCTAATTTTTCAAAGTGCTAAAAATATTTTAAATTTTAAATTGCTCGTAATTTCCGTATAATTACTGAGATTCGTTGATATAATTATATTCTTAACGCTTTTTCAACTTTTTGGTTTTTTCAAATCGAGGAAGCTAAGGTTACATCTTATATGTTCCTCCGACGTAATCTTCGAACATTATTATTCCTTTTTACTTGAAAACTTTTCGTATCTTCAAAGATTCACTGTGCTTTTCCCTGCTCTAGTCCTCAAATTGAGGAAGCTACGGAATATGTCTACCTTATTGTTTATGGTTAAAAGGCTTGTCCATGGAAAAAGGGCCTATGCAGTACTTTCATTTATGGGGAGCTGCTACGTTTTGAGAGGTCCTAAATCATTTCAGTTGCTTTAACAAAATTAATGATTTTCAGCTTTTGTTTTGGTTAGATCAGATGATCTTTTATCAGGGTTTTGATGGAAAAGTAATGTGAAAGAAAGTTTATGGTAGGATTGGCAGTGTGAGTTTCGCCTGTCCTAGACCAAGTCTCTCCGATTCAGCCCTCATTATCTGTTGCTTGTTTATTATGCCTTTCTTTTCATTATTTCGTATGTCCTTTTCATATTTTTATTATAACACATTTGTTCAAGAAAAATATGCTCTGCAAGCCCCATACTGAATTGTCACCGACATTGGCTTGAGTTTGAAGTACAAAATAGTACACCTATATGCCTATGATGCATCCCCCATGTCCTTTTTGTTGAAATCGTCATTCATTTCTAGAAGAACGTCCCATGCTTCTGTGTCTATCAATCAATGTTGTTCCCCATTTTTGTCTGTTTGTGGCTGGGAGATTTCTTTTACCCGATGAACAATCCAAAATACTTATTATTGCTATATGTAATATTTTCTTCTGATTAACCTCTGTAAGATTTTAAGAAACGGGGAGAAAGAAAAGAAATTTACTGAGTATTATATTGTGTTGTGTTTTATTTATGGCCAAAGTATGAAGATAATAAATTAGCTCCAAAAGAAGTCTCCAGTTTAAATTCCTTTTACCAACTTAACTATCAAGAAGAAAATAAACCCCCCTTTGTGTTATGCTCTAAAAGTTCGTACACTTTCATATCACAGAGCATAGGAGCTGATGTGAATCAGAAACTCTTTAAGGGCTTTGCAACAACAGTAGCAGTGAGGGAGGGTCGTCTTGAGATTCTGGAAATCTTGCTTAAAGCTGGGGCGTCTCAGCCTGCTTGCGAGGAAGCTCTTCTGGAGGCAAGCTGCCATGGGCAAGCAAGGCTTGCGGAACTGCTTATGGGCTTTGATTTAATTCGACCACATGTTGCTGTCCATGCTTTCGTTACAGCATGCTGCAGGGGATTTGTGGAAGTGGTGGACACTCTCATGAAGGTAAAACCATCATACCCAGTATATCATGTGCACCACTTTAGCCATTTACATGAGTAAAGCTCTAAATCGCACTATAATAGAACACAGTAGGGCACTTCAACAGTTTTAACTTTTAGCCATTAGAATGACATGTAATTCTGGCTTTTAGCTGCTATTAGCCTGTTGTTTGCATCCCCTGTTGTGCCTCATAGTAAGTTGGGTGATTGGTATTGGTGCCCTTATTGCTGATTTGGCCAACAATACACTACTGGTGTTATTCAGTTGATCCTACAGGACGGGGACATTTTATTAAGCTCTTGATATAATTTTGTATGTGTTATTTATATTAGATTTTATATGATAATCTAATGGCTCTCCTCGATAACAGTGTGGCGTTGATGCAAGTGCGAGTCATAGGCTGCTGCTCCGGTCTTCTAAACCTTCTCTATACACAAATGTTGACTGCTCTGCACTTGTTGCTGCTGTTGTTAGTAGGCAGGTTTCTGTTGTTCGCTTGCTTCTACAGGTGATGTAATCTTTTAGCGTACTGCATGATTTACATAAATTTCCGAAACTCTGAAATAAATTCTTCTAAAATAGGCACTAAATGTTTAAGTGGGTTCATGCTGCTAAATGTCTTTCAGATGTACAAGCTTGGAACAGGAAAGCTTTTTATGATTAGAATCTAAATCACTCGAACATTCAAATAATTGTTGCATCACATCTGGATCTGATCAACCTTTGTGGTAGTTTATTTCACATAAGAAAGGTTGAGTTTAGCAAGATATTATTTTTCCTGATAAATCAACAAAGAGAGTTAAAAGAGTTGCATTAAAGAATAAGTAACATGCTTTGAGTAATTCGATACTAATATTATTGGTATTTGGTTCTCGCCTTATAAACCACTTCGACTCATTATCTTATTTATCCAAAATCATAATACAGGCTGGGAAACCAACTGATATGAAAGTAAGTCTTGGAGCATGGTCATGGGACACTACTACAGGTGAAGAATTTCGAGTGGGTGCAGGACTGGCTGAGCCCTATGCCATTAGTTGGTGTGCTGTAGAATATTTTGAAGATAGTGGTACCATCTTGCGCATGCTCCTTCAGCACCTCACCCTTGAGACACCTCACTATGGAAGAACCCTCCTCCACCATGCAATCCTTTGTGGCAATGCAGGAGCAGTCAAGGTGCTCTTGAGCCGTGGTGCAAATGTAGAATGCCCAGTTAAAACCATGAAAACTGAGTTCCGTCCAATTCACATGGCTGCTCGTCTCGGCTTGTCAGCAACCCTTCAATCCCTCATTGATTCTGGTTGTGATCTAAACTCAAAGACTGACTCTGGTGACACAGCTTTGACGGTTTGTGCAAAATACAAGCATGAAGAATGTCTCAGAGTGTTGACCAGAGCTGGTGCTGACTTTGGCTTAGTTAACATCTTTGGTCAGTCAGTTAGTTCAATTGCTGGTTCAAACCGGTGGTCGCTTGGTTTTCAGCAAGCAGTGCTAGATGTAATCAAGGTTGGAAAGATTCCCAAGTCAAGCAATGTTTCAGTTTTCTTTCCCTTAATATTTGTTGCTCAAGCTGGTGATGTTAAGGCTCTAAAAGTTGTGATTGGAAGGGGAGAAGTTAATCTTGATTATCAGGATGATAATGGTTTCTCAGCGGTCATGGTTGCTGCCTTAAAAGGTCACGTTGAAGCATTCCGCTTGCTGGTTTATGCTGGGGCTGATGTTAAGCTGTTAAACAAATCTGGTGAGACTGCAATTACATTATCTGAACTGAACCAGAACCGTGACCTGTTTGAGAAGGTGATGCTTGAATTTGCAATTGAAAAAGGCAATCGCAATGCTGGGGGCTTCTATGCTTTGCATTGTGCAGCGCGTCATGGAGACTTGGATGCTGTTACATTGTTGACAAGAAGGGGCTATGACGTAAATGTCCCTGATGGAGATGGCTATACTCCACTTATGTTAGCAGCTAGGGAAGGTCATGGTTCCATGTGTGAGCTCTTAATCTCAGATGGGGCAAATTGTGATTTTAAGAATGCTAAGGGGGAAACTGCGCTCTCTCTTTCTAGAAAAACTGCTGGCTTGAAAAACGATGCAGAACGTGTGATTCTAGATGAGTTTGCTCGCAAGCTTGTTCTTGGTGGTGCCCATCTCATTAAGCATACCAAGGAAGGAAAGGGAAATCCTCATGTGAAAGACGTGAAAATGGTGTTAACTGCCGGAGTGCTGCAATGGGGAAAGTCAAGTCAACGAAATGTGATATGCCGAGAGGCAGAATTGGGGCCAAGTCCAGCTTTTGAGAGGAACAGGCGCAGCAAGGGTGATGCTAATGAACCTGGAGTATTTCGGGTGGTGACTACCAAGAATAAAGAGATTCATTTTGTCTCTGAAGGTGGGTTTGAAATGGCAGAGCTATGGGTAAGAGGAATAAAGCTTGTAACTAGGGATGCTATCTTTGGTAGCCAGAAAGCTAGGTAGGGATGAGTTAGAAAGTTGATTTTTAGATGATTGTATAGTTGTTTGGAGGAGTACTTCGTCGTGAAGTAGCTTGAACTATCGCTATTTCGTTGTAAAGGTTCTGATCTCCAGTACTTTGTAAATGCTTTCCATCTAAAAATATCCGAGTGTCGGTTTCCTGTTCTAGTTTTTGATCTGGAACTGCGAATGAACAGAGCACACTGAAGCATTGGGAACTCTCAAAACCTGATTGACGTCATTGGCAGTGCACCAGGTTCCGAATGGGGATAATCGTGCTGGGTTCTGGTAAATACTGGAGCACCGTAGCTCAGCCAGCGGGATCTCCTTTGCCTTGCAGAAACAGTAAGCTGTCTGGGCTGTTCTGGTAACATTGGGACATTGTTAAACACTCAATTACATAAACATGTTGAACAAAGTTCTTCAACAGTAATGAGATCGACCCATTTCAATTACATCGAAGACCTTATTCAATTGATGATAATGATAAGGTAGAAGGCATATCTTGATCAACTTAAGTTTTAATTATCTTTGCTTTATAATAGTCGCAACAAAGGTGCCAAAAGTATGCAAAACTCTCTTCCTCTGAACTGCTTATTAAAGCACTTCATGAAAAATTGCTAAATGTAAAACAAAAGACGCTAAATTTCTCAAACATGTGAATAGTGAGTGTTTTTAGTGCTAACTGTTTGGTGGCGATTATAAATGTTGCTAAACTATAAAGGACGTATATTATTGAATCCCTCGCGTACTCATGTCGTATTTGCTGTTTATGACTTATCGAAATATATATAAAATTTGATCGAATGTGAAAAAAAAAATGAAAAGACAACTTTCGTATGAATAATAATATATATGTTCTTTTATTGTTAGAGTCCACAGAGGCAGGTCTCGAGCGCAATGGAAGAGACGTGGAGTAGCTGCTAAGCATCAGAACAACAAAGGTCGTGATTGGTCCACTGGCATCATTTGCTTGAACACATATCAAAGCCAAGATGGACACATCTCATTATTTCCATTCTTGAACCATCCCTCCGAGTGGGATCTATCATATTCATAACTGTTCCTGTTTTCCAACTTTTCCATGCCTGCAATTATCCAATAATGTTTTGGCGCTAAGGATGCAACGACCAAGTCAAGATAAATTTTTGTTTGTTTTGAATTTCATCGGATTTTATATCAATAATATTAAAATCTGATCTCATTTGATGATTTTTTTAAATTTTTTTATATCTAAATTTAAATTTGACTTGAAATTAATAAAATATTATTTTTTAATATAAATATAAAATTAAATAATTTAAAAATATATGAATATAAAATTAAATAAATAATTAAAAAATACTTTTTTATATATACCGAATCGAGGTGGTGCAGGTTTATCTAACGTTCGATCCCAAATTTTTACTATTATCCAACTTGAAATCCGATTAAAAAAAAAAAAAAAACTTAAGAGTTTGGATGGAGTTGGCACTCACCGGGAATGGGTTGGGCTGCCATGTCTAGTTGGCACCGTAATGTTTATACTACATTGGCATCAATAGTTTTATACCAACGCACAAGAGGAATGTTGTGGGTTAGAAGATCCTCTCCTTGCTGCGGAAACAACTAATCCTTGCATCAATAATGATTTCAAAAACCAGCCCACCAAAGCAATAAACATCAGACTTAACTGAATATGTTCCGCGTCTTATGTATTCTGGAGCCGTATATCCACTGAAATGCAATAAATAAACAAATCATTCTCAACTGCAATTACCTTATTAACAGAACCAAATCCACCTTGTCCAAATTTGTTATTCCCGGAGAAATTATCTGTTGATACTTTTATTGCACTGAAGTCGAATTGCAATAATTCCAAAATATTATTGTTATCTGCATCTTAACAAAAGGAAGTGAGTTAGCAAAAAAAAAATGATGAAATTTCAACCTTTTTGCCTTTTGAATTTGTGACCACATAGCTACATCATGATTTGCAGGATGATAAAATGTAAAAGACCTGCAATTTTTACCTACGCAGCAACAAAATCCTAGGACACGATGAGAGTTGACTGACATTCTCCTGCTTTGTCTTCTTCCTTTTTCGAAGAAGAATACAAGCAAGTCCCCGTATTGCTCTGATACCATTTACAAGGGGGTGCGAAAAGGATCTATGTATAAAAGATTTACAAAAGTTATATCTATATATGGATTGGAGGATAAAGGATTAGAGAGAGAAAGTGTAAGAGAGAAGGTGTGTAGAATTGGACGACTGGAAGTTCTGCCTCAAACTTTACAATGAACCTCCTTAAATAGAAAAATTCTATCCTATGAACAGTAATCTGTACAGTTGCCCGCTACAATATACAGTAGAATTTTTATCTACAGTACCGCTACAATGATTGCTACAGTGTTTTCTGTCTGCTAGTCGTTGGCGCCGAATGGAGTTTTGTCCTTTTGTGTCGGCTGTTTGTTCTGGCTTATTCTGAATTAGAATTTGCACAGTTTATCCTTCCATAGCATTGGTTAGGTTATGAAATTCTTCATCCAGTTCGTTAAGGGACTGGGGTGAGTGTGGAGAGTCTGAATGTGATTTGTTCCATAATTGCCATCCTTCCTGATATTGGTATAGGAGATTAGTTGGATGATCCAGATCTTCCATTTTAGATAGTTTATCCAAAAGCTCTATTGCTTCTGGTGCATTTTCGATGTCAAAATCTTCATGAGGTTCAATGAATCTTTTTACAAAAATGCGTCTGCCATCAGTCCAACAAGCTATTTTTGGATAGTCTTGTTTGGTGGCTAAATGGAAAAAGAATTTTGCTTTATCCATAAGGTCAGTTCTGGTTTGAAAGTGATAGGAGTTTGGGTTGGTATATTTAGAGATGATTTTGTTTAAATCATCAGAGAATTCGATGTGATCTGTAGGTGGATCAAGTATATCATAGGGTTGAAGAAAGTGTCCACCTAATATGGTATCAAATTCCCATATTTGGTAGGGTTGGTAAAATCTTTCTCGTTGAAAGGTACCCAAAAAACTGTATATAGTAAAATGAACGTATAAAAAGTGTTTTGACCATTTGATACATTCAAAAAAGCGTTGCTTTATAAAAGCTGGAAAGTCTTTTAAAAGATGGAAAGAATAATTTTGTACAGTTATTTGTCCAACTAAACCAAGTTCAATACTTTTTATATCAAAACTTTCGTGGTCAAGTCGAAACTTTAGTTTAGGTATATATTCATCAAAAGATGTATTATACATGTAAGTAGAGGTATAATATTCTGAAAACTTTTCAACCAACAGTGTTTCTGTTGACTGTAAAATAGAAGAATTAATTTGCTGGAAGAGTTTTGGGGTTAAGAATACCGTAGCTTTTTCAAAGAGAAGAATTCTTTTAAGCTTGTTTAGCTTAGAAGAAATAAAATTATCTTTCTCAAAATATTGACATAAATTCAAGAAATTGTTTATCTCTTGAAGACTGTACTGATTTTCTTCCAAAGCAAAGAAATCTGTCTGCAAGAAATTGCTTTGATTTTCTTCCAAAGCAAAGACTCTTGAAGACTGTAATAGTACTGTAGATAAAATTCTACTGTATATTGTAGCGGGCAACTGTACAAATTACTACTGTTCATAGGATAGAATTTTTCTATTTAAGAAGGTTCATTGTAAAGTTTGAGGCAGAACTTCCAGTCGTCCAATTCTACAGACCTTCTCTCTTACACTTTCTCTCTCTAATCCTTTATCCTCCAATCCACATATAGATATAGCTTTTGTAAATCCTTTATACAAGCCGGAAATATGAATATAATTCCCTGCGATGTCCTGAAATTTGTGAATTGTAATACAGGTGATCTTTGATCTTTTTTCTTTTTGCATCCTTTCTCACGTCATTACTCCTTACCTTCTCTACTTGTATTTCTATTAGTGGTGGAATTGGTAGCTGAGGATGTAAATATAAAGTATCAGCTGAAGAATTAAAGAAGGAATACAAATCCCATCGAAAATGACAGTTTGGTGTCAGGACATAATCTCCTTGCTTCCCCTGGCAACATCTTTGATACTGACCAACTGTTTCCATTAAGCACTCCTTGCAATCATTCTGAGATGTATCTGGGGTGCACTGCATTAGTGCATATATCTTTTCTGAGTCCACATCTACTATTCCGGTTGCAAATTTGAGCCCGAACGAGCCATTGGAAGCTCTTTGTACCAAACCATCGGTTAAATTATCCCATATTTGATAAAATTGTGCAACATTCGATGTGACATCAATAACATTTTTTTATATTGTAGCCGGCTTAAGAGGGCTGTAGTTCCAGCGTTCCGAACTTTGCATACCGAACTAGACAAACAATTTCCCCTTCCCATAGAAGTGCTTCTGTCTGGTTTGGACAGATTGCTTTGATCTTGCTGACTCTTACAAATTGATGCAGCTACAACAATCTCCGGAGGAAGTATCTCCTCTGCGAAGAGCCAACGCATAAACTTGGTCAATGGTGGCCATGTAGAAACCACCATTTCTTGATACATTATCAGGTGGAGAAGACAGGATTAGATCAAGGTTCTTGCCATAGGAACTATTACAGGTGAAGTTCCTGGTATCATAGCATTTTAGGAGGCTGGTCGTGCTAAGATTGATGCCTAGAAATATATAGCAGAAAAGGAAAGCTAGATTCTTACCACACATAGCAGAATTTTTTGCTTATGTCTGAATTCTGATTATGTATCAGCATCAAAAGCCGATGTTTCAACTTTTCCTACCTTGTTTGCTGGTTTTCTAAAATTGCAAAAGGACCAAACAAAGTTCATAAAAAAGATACCTCTGAAGTGAAATTATTAAAAATCTTAATTAAATATTCTACCTCACCCTGACATGCATTTACATAACAAGTTCTTGCCGGTTTGATTTCTTCTTTCCCTTTTGTTTTTGTAAGTCACGTCAAGTTGTGATGAAAATATTGATAATCAAAATCGATTCCTCATCCATAGCTATTCAAGATTGTTTTCCTTTGATTTAGCAAATTCAATTCAAGATTGTTATGCCAATATGGAGGTCAATCCAGTATTGAAATACCTGTCAAACTATTGTTTTGTTCTGTAAGCAAAATGGTATTCAGCTTGAGAATAGAACTACTCAATACAATATTTTCAGTAAGATTTTTTTTAAATAGTTTATATTCCTTTAGACCAAAAATTGAATTTGATTTCTCAAATTCAAATTCATTTCAAAGACACAGGCTTCATTGGTAGTCAGGTTTTCTCAACAATGACTTCTTCGGATACATGATCAATATAGTTGAAGCAGATTGACAAGCAACCAATCAAAAAGAAGAACCAAAAAAAAGAAGCAAAGAAACCAGAAATTACAATAGTCTGTCAACAGTAATCTTTTTCCAACCAAATGAATTTGCCAAACTTCTAATCACTTGACGATCCTTCATCATCATGATCTTCATGCTGGGTAACAACTTTCTCTATAAACCTCCTTCGAACTCCTTCGAGAACAGCTTTTGGTGATGGATCACTCCCATTTTGACCATCATTTAGTACAGGATCTGATTGACAAAGAACTAAGGCCAACCCTATATTTTAAGAGAAAAAAATATGGTAAATAAACTTGATATAAGACCATTGAAATCAAAAGAAGACAAGGGAAATGTACAAAAGACTTTCTCCAAAGAAATTCATTAACTGTCTAATTTGGACAATAATTAATTGAGGCAGCGCTCCAAACTCATGGATCTTTGTATGCATCCAGAATATCAATATTTTACATCCAAGACTACAACACAAGATTGACCAGCATCATCAGTAACTTCCCCATTACCACCACTATTCAAATTTATTTGAAACATGAGAAAAGGCAAAAAAAAAAAAGATAAAGAGAGTAATTCCTTTCATAGATAGCATACCTTCAGCCGTGCATCTTCGGCCAAAACTATGCAAGCCCACATAATTTGCTTTCACTGCTCCATTGTTATATACCAAGAGAGTCGGAAGATTATGATCTGGGTAGTTAGGAATGCAATCAGTAGATATTATCTTAACAAACTTTGTTGCTGGGTATTTAACTGCCAATTCTTCCAAACACAGCAAAAGCAGCCCACACTCTGGAAATCTAGTAAGAGAGACCAATAAAGCAAAAATCAATCAGTACAAGCGTGTAAAAACCTACTGCACTTACCTGTACAGCATCCACCCTTATTTTTCTATAAGCATGAGCATCTTAAAATTTCATGGTTCACAAGTCATATAGTTTTTATTCTAATTTCATCAACCATAAAGAAAGGTTAAAGCTCATCAACAAACTGAAAACTAAGAAAATATACAATAGTTGAAACCCATTAAATGATTCACGACAAATGTGAAGTTGAAAACACTAAATATTGCACTATGCAAATGAAGGTTAAAGCTCATCAACAAACTGAAAACTACAATGAATAAGAAACACTAGTACAACGATTACATGATGCCAATGTTACTAAACACATAAAAAGAAAAGGAAAATTGTTACAATTCTCATAACTAAGACTTGTGTAAGAAGCAAGCAATATTTCAAATGTAAATACCCTTCTTTGTAGAGAATGACAACCACCCAGACATCCTGAGGAGCTTGTGAAACCTCCCGCACGAAATCAGATCCTGAAATCGGTATCACTGATCCATACTTTGAAATCTTAGCTGCTTCCCTCATCTCACCCAGCCTCTTCTTTCTATCAAAACAACACCATTTTTCCAATTAAAATGCATAGATATAGATATCAATGAAAACCCAAATATTCCAACCACAAGGAAAAAGTTCAACTAAATGAAGAACACATACCAATTAACCTGAATTAATCGTTAGTTTAATCACAAAAGTTTACTCTTTTTATTCATTTTACAAGTTCTTGAAGGTAAGAACTTTATTTTCAGCACATAAATTTAACAACTTTGTCTGAATAAATCAAACCCATTTTCATTTCAATGAAAAAATCCAACAATAAAAAAGAATAACGTCTTAAGCCTCAGAATTAAATCTGAAAAAAATCCAATTAATTGAAGAAAAATTCAATTAAACCTGTATTCTTCAAGGAATCGATCATCATCGAGAACATCTTCAAGGTCTTCAAGTTCTTCTTCAGTCTTTTCATCGATCCAAGACTTGTCCTTCGCGGCTGAATCCGGGTCGGGTGCGGGTTCAAAAGGGTCAGGCTTGAAAGCAGGTGGCTTTGGCGGTAAATTCCCAAGCTTTCTTTGAATATCGTCCCATTTAGTCGAAGCTCCTTCTACATCTTTGTAAACGAAATGGTAATCCACCATTATTTTACTGCTTTAGAGCTATCTTTTGCCTCTCTGCTTTCCTCTGATTCTTCCTCTTGGCTCTCCGCTTCTAAAGAACACGAAAGAAAAAGTAAAGAATAACTGGGTTTTGGACTCTGGCCCGTACAGTTTGAACCGATCTGGTAATAGGCCAAGGCAGGCCCAAGTAGAAAAGCCTGGTAATAGTACTGTACTTTTGGTTTCCATTTGGTTTTTGTTTGGTATCTTAGTCGATTCGATCAGAAGGCTCGTCGGGAAGACAAGGGATGAACACATTGGAAGGTTTAGTGACTCAAATCCAGGGGCTATCAAGCACAGCCTCTGATGTTTCATCGCTACAAAATTTTCTTAAAAAAGCTGATGACTCGCTCCATGCCGAGTCGACTCGGTTGTTGGCTTTTCTCGATCAACTCGACCCTTCCAAGCACTCTCTTGGTTACCTCTATTTCCTGTGAGTTCTTTTTCAATTTGGGTCTTAAAAAAAATCAACTTTTCTATGTCAAAATATGTGAAGGTTTGGGTATTGTTTAGAATTTGATGTTTGGATGCTGAGAACAGAATCGAAAGTAGAAGAAAATTGAATCTTTGGGTTTTTAATTAACTTATTTAAACTTTGTTATTTCTGCCGGGGTTGTTTATTTTTAGAAGGTAAAATAATAGCTATGAGTTTTATTAACGGTTCAACAGAGAGGCATGCACTGCTGGTCCAGTTACAAAAGAGCAGGCTAGTTCATTTGTGTTAATCATTTCCAGATTTATCAGTTCATGTGTTGCTGAGCAAATTCGACTGGCGCCTGATAAGTGTATTACTCTTTCACTGAATCAATTTTTTGTTGACATTAGCTAAGTTTCTTCTTGTTGGTTGTTGATATCGTTGTTGTTGATTTTAATGTGATTGGCAGTTACATCTGTTTGTAAGAGGTTCAAGGACCAAGTGCTGTTGCTTGAGGAGCCCTTGCGTGGGGTAGCTCCATTGCTGACCGCTATTCGGAAGCTTCAGTCATCTACTGAACATTTGACTACTTTACATCCGGCGTTTCTTTTGCTCTGTTTGCTGGCAAAGTGCTATAAAACTGGTCTTTCCATTCTGGAGGAAGATATTTTAGAGGTTGATCAGCCAAGGGAGCTTTTTCTCTATTGCTATTATGGGTTGGTTACTTCTCAAACTATTCAATTCGCATCTCAGATTGTGCCTTTAATCATTGTGTATTCAGATGCTTAGTTCATAGTAGCTCTTATCTTTTTCTTTTACACCTGTAATCTCTAAGAAAATTGGCTTCCTTCTTTAGGCACATGTTACAACTAAGATTTTCCTATTTCATTTTGAATCTGTATTTCTATTTTTGTGAGAATCAAGCAGTAAAGTTTTATTACCTACTGAAAGTGAAAGACATCCCTTTAATAATTGATTTACTCAAACCTTCAATTCTATCTTATTCTCCTTGATTTGACTGCTTCACTGGTTTAGCATCGTTGAGGGGAATCACTGATTGGGTTTTGCATTTGACATCACGACAGAGGAATGATATGCATTGGACAAAAGCGTTTTCAGAAAGCATTGGAGCTTCTACACAATGTTTGTTGTTTCTTTACTGCTCTGTTGTTCATTTTTAGTCAGTCAGCTACTAATATTACGACAGTCTGACTTCTGATTATCCTATTTTTGTTTGCTTTATGGTAATTATCTAGGTTGTGACTGCTCCTATGTCTACAGATAACGCTATAGCTGTTGAGGCTTACAAAAAATACATATTGGTCTCTCTTATTCACCATGGACAGGTATTTTCTGCAATTGAAATTTATTTTACATTGTATTATGTATTAAGAATGTATGGAAAATCCTTAAAAAAAAAAAAAACAAGTTATGGACAAATTGGTTCTCAATTTGGAAGCTGTGGTTTCAAAAGGGGAATAGTTTCACCATTTAGACGAAATTTTCACTTGCAAGTTTGTCTTTTGCTCTTCTTTATCTCTGAATGGTGATTTTCCCAATGGTTTTCCATTCTTTTGGTTACAGTTTTCTACCAGTCTCCCTAAGTATGCTTCTACGGTTGCTCAGAGAAATTTGAAGAACCTGTGTCAGGTACATATCAATTCTAAGACTAATGATATTGAAATTTTGTTGCTTTATACCTACATAAAAAGAATGAACCATTACATCATTAGTTATTTTTTTTAGTTTATTAATTAATTTCTTACTTTTATTGTTGAGTAGCCATATGTTGAACTGGCAAATAGTTATAGCGATGGGAAAATTGCGGACTTAGAGACATTTGTACAGGCAAACAAGGAGAAATTTGAAAACGTGAGTGCTGTATCAAAATTTAAACCTACCCTTGTGCTTTTCATTTGACCATCTGAAAGAGGCTTTGTACTTTTACCAGGACAGCAATCTAGGTTTGGTGAAGCAGGTTGTATCATCTATGTATAAGCATAATATCCAGAGGTTGACCCAGACATATTTAACTCTCTCCCTTCAGGACATAGCTAATATAGTGCAATTGACTAGCCTTAAGGAAGCGGAAATGCATGTTCTTCAAATGGTAATTTTGGATCTTCTGTTTCATTTAATTAAGACTGCAGCTCCATATTGCATGTTTTGAAGTTCCATTATTGACATTTTCGTGTCAAATTTTAGATTCAAGATGGTGAGATATATGCAATGATCAACCAGAAGGATGGGATGGTTAGATTCCTAGAGGATCATGAACAATATAAGACCTGTGAAATGATTGACTGTATTGACTCATCAATCCAAAGGTACACTATAGAATAGACACTTCTGTCATGTTTTGTTTGAATAGATAATTTTGTAATGTTTATGACTATTCTTGTTTATACATGCTAGGCATTACTTTATTATAAATGTTATTTATTGCAACAGTTTTTACAAAGGTGTTATAACATATAATGTGATCAATCATGGGAACTTGTGGTACAACAATGGTGATTATTTTTGTCTGAGCCTTTCAGCTATAAACATAGGCGCGGCTTGATCATGAATAAAAACATTGTCAAAGGTTTTTATTTCTTTAATTTTTTCTGTGTTCCACTACAGGTTGATGACCCTCTCAAAGAAGCTGACTGTTATGGATGAACTCATGTCATGTGATCCATTGTATCTAGCAAAGGTGAGCCTGCTATTCCATTCATCAAAAGATTTTAGCTAATAGTATTGTTGACGAACTGATGATTGGTAACTAGATAATACCTTTCCGTGTTCAGGCTGGGAGAGAGCGACACAGGTACGACTTTGAAGACCTTGACAATGTTCCTCAGAGGTTTAACATATGAGTGGTAAATGACAATGAGAAAGATGCAAGACCTCCACAAATTTGTTCCATTTGCTCGAAGTTGTTGAAAGAGGTGGCAAATTTTCTTATGCAGGTTAGCCCACCTAATCTGTTGATGCGTTTGTTCTTATTTAAGTGGGATTATTGAACAATTTGATGCAAGAGCTAGCTTTTGCAAGTTACATAGATTCAGTTCATTTCATGTAACTTCCTCTTTCCCTTGCTGTCTTTGCTCATTTTTTCCCAAGTTGAGACTTATTTGGAGAAGTGTGTTGAATAACAAACAAGAGTCGAGTGAAAAATCTATTATGGTCAAGCTGGCATAAAATGTACAAGGGAATGCCCTAAGTGAGAAAAAGATAAAAAAAGGGGAAAAAAATGGCACACTAATCAACTTTGAACACCTACCTAATGCAAATCAAAATCATAATACAGTAGAAAAAAGAAAGAAGAGAGCTCTTTGTTTCATGGTACCAAAAAACAGGAAGCTGTTGAAAGTTAACTGATCTTTATGCTTCTATCTTTACACAGCATGTGCCATTCCTGCAGCACAGCTGCTTGAAGAGCACGGTGCTCGGCTTCTTCTGCTGTTAGCTTGGAAAGAGTGGAAGGTCCTTTAGGTTTACCATCTTCCTCACCATCTTTCTTGTTTTTCTTCTCTTCATCTTCATCTTCCACTTCTTTCTCTTCATCCTCCACTTCATCATCGGATTTTGGAGTTTTCTTCGGCTGTGCAGCTTTTAACAAGGCTATCCGTTCCATTGAAATTCTAAGCCTCTCAGCAGCAGCCACTTTCATTTCATCTTCAGGCATGTACTCCACACCCCCATCAGTTAGGTCATCCAACCAACCTTGTGGATCTGATTCAATCTGTTTAGTAATGGATGCGTCAGAAGCTCGGACCACAAATTTGCACATCATAGTTGTTGTTTCATCACCTAAATCCACATTTCTGCTCACTTCACTGGCTCCAAAAATCATCATGCCCAAGAAGCCTCCATGCCAAGTTTTTGCAGCATAACATAGCTGTCACATGTGGGTGAAGTAAATAGTAGTTTTGTCAAGCAATAGAAAAATCTCGAACAATAATAGTATTTGTTTAGATAAAATAATCAATATCATTGAAACAGTTGCATTAAAAGAATAAAAGAAAGAAAGAAATACTATCAGATTCGATTCATTTTTAAGGTAAAAAACCTTAAAAATTCGGACCCAAATTAGAATTTTCCAAAACCCGTGGTGAGTGCAGAACAAGTCTCAGCAAACAAACATTTTTCATGGAAGGATGCTTGAATAGCTTCATAAGAAATACACAGGACAGAGAGCCTACAGATAAACCAACACAAACATGTGATAGAAAAAGGTATCAAGACATTGAGTCCTACCTGAAACCCAGCCACGGTGCGAATGATGTGCGAACAAACTCTGTGAAAAGGCTTGGAATACAATGATTTCAGTCCACTCAAAAAAGGAGAAAATCCATACTGCTGCGCAGCAGTAGCCTTGAAGCCACTTCCTTCATAAATATATGTGCCAGTATATTCCACAATAGCTGGTAAACTAGGCCATAGCCGGAAAAACTCAACAGGTGAAATTTTATGCGGCAAGAGAAGCTCAGTCAATGGAATTTTGTAAGGCTGACATCTCAAAATCACAGGTTCTCCAAGTTCAGGCCTTAAGCTTCTCCTTTGCCTCATAATTTGTGGATCCTCTTCAGCATAATCACCTTCATAATCTCCTACAGCACCACTTCCATAGAATGGGTAGTACAAGACTTGAACCCAAAAGCCACATCTTTCAAAATGAGAAACACCTACTGTGACACTGCAAAGTACAGGATCCTGCAAGATAAGATGAGATTTTTAAGAAGCGGAGGTACAATAGGTGCATTTGAAAGCATAGAATCAGAAAAATTTATTTACAAAGATGAGAAGAAACCTGAGAAACAAGATTACGCAACTGCCTTACTGCTTGAGGAGACCCATCCATAAAATACAAAGAACCAGATAAACCAACCCTAATATCAACACGATTTAGTTCCAGTTCAGTCAAATTAAGAACCTGCAAAATCCACCAATCAACCAAGGGAATATAATTAATAGGCATCACTCATCATAGCCCGTAGAACCACAACACAAGAAAAGAATAGGCATTAAGTGCTGATACTGCTTTCAGATTTGGTGCCTGATCAGGAAAAATGGTTTTTAGCATGTAACATAATTAATTGATCATACTATTGCCAGACTGATGGGAACATGAAAAAGATTGAGTCATAACTCAAATATGTCAAGGTTGCCATCAATAGATTGATGCAAAAGCATGAAAAACTTTAATTCCTGTAATCAGTAAACACAGATAATGATGCACCAACCAACCAATAAACAAATGCACCTTGCTTAGTGCATAGTCTTCTACTAAAACTTTGCTACTTAAAAGGGTAGAATACATTTTACCACTTGGAAAACACCTCAACATAACTCTGCAAGGTTTCTTAAAGTCCACCATTTATGGCATTAGATTTAGATAAGTTTCAAAATTCATTTATCAAGTTTCAAGAAATTAAGGAGGCTCTGTTCAACATATGCTTATTGTTTCCCTCGCTTCAAGAGGATCTACAGACTTGTACTACCTCAAATCATATAGAAATTAAAAGAAAAGGGTTTGAGAGGCACAGAAAATAGAAATGAATAAAGAAGTGTTTTAACCTTCAGGTGCAGAGTGATCCTTCCATCTCCTGCATCTGCCAGATGATAGGCCTCAATGTAGCAAGGATCACTGCCACCAGTCAAAGTACAAGCAATTGGAGGAACCTTGAGTGATGTGGAGTCAATTCCATTTGTTAGCAAAAGTGTTAGTTCACTAGGGTCTGGCCTCCAAAGCTCCAAAATAGCCTTGTGAACCAACCCTTCCAGTTTTCTATCTTGGGCAGCTGATGCATCATAAAACTGAACAGTCAGTTTATGGTGGCTAAATGGGTAATCTCCTCTGGCTTCACTAACCCCTGCCCACCTGAAAAAGAAACATTCGATATCTCACATCGGTTTATAAGAAAGCCGATTATGCACATTGATCTATTTTTCATTTTCATTTTAAGGCTGGGGAAAATATGAGGAAGAAGCTACTTCAGTTGTTAAACTAGGTTTAACAAGATTCTTGCCTAATATGCCAGCATACTCATATAGCAACAAAAATGGAAAGAGCATCTGTCCATAAGGGAAAAATCTTTCTATAGCCCACACTGCTTATCACTAAACATGAAGCGTTTCACCAAACATGCAGTCCATCCCAAATTCAGCCCAAAAGATTTAAAAGAGCATGCTCCCGAAGGGGACATTCAAGCACTTACGCAAAAGAAACATCATGAATGTCATCAGTGAATTTAAATCTAGAACTTCAGACTTGTGCTAACTTATAGAGATATTGGCAGCAACCTCACCTGCTTTCAGGGTGGATAGAAATATATTTAATTCTCTGCAAAATCATACGGCACTGATGCTTGTTGACAGAATCAGCCAAGCCATTGGTTCTGAACTCCTCAAGCTCCTTTGTTAGTAACTGCCCAGCCCTAGCATGTCGAGATCCCAACCGCTGAGCACATAGAAGAGCTGCCTGAACTTCTTGAGGCCTATTTGTTGAATCTGTAGATGAATCTATGTTGAAGAGGACCTTGTGAATATTTGACACGATAATGTTTAGAGGATCCTCAGGATCATCAGCAAGAAGTGGATCCAGACCTTCTAGATCTATATGTTCCGAAATAGCCCAAAGAAGACATGCACATATTCTTGGGGTATTAACCTAACAAATGGACACCAAGTTAAGATGAAACAACACGAAGAGACCAGAGATCTTCATAATTTAACAATAATAATAATAGTTACGCCAAAATCATGCCTAAATACCCTTAGCAATTAGAATAATTCTATTCCTTCACCATGAACATAGTAAACATCATATCACAAAACCAAAGCTATTTGCACAACAAATCTTGTAAGATAGTTCTCTATAAGATATCACATACCTCACGTAGATCTTTTACAAGATCACGTTGCAAGTTCTGCAATCTTGTCTCATTTAAGATTTGATCTTGGGAAGCCCCATCTTTGACTCTTTTCACACCACCCCGGGTATCATAAATATGGCAGAGCCGAACAAGCAGCTTCAAATAGCAATCAATTGCATAAGTCCTTCCATCACAATCCCATTTGACACATGGCCTGCAAACTTCCACCACTTCCAAAGCTGTCTCTGTCCAGTTTAATGCACCATAACCTGTTCCATATGCCAAGGCTCCGATCACTCTACTCTCCATACCTGAGTTCTTTTGTTCAGGTAAAGGCAGTGACAACTGGAAACAACTTTCTACAAGAGTTGCCACCAACTCCTCTCTGAACAAGCTTTTACTAGTAACATTATGAAGATCATCTTTTACTGTAGCATCCTCAAAAAGAGAAGCAATATCAGTTCCTGCAAGAGGTTTCTGACCTCTTCGGACACTTTCCTTTGCAAATAGATCAACGCATAAAGCTGTCCGACAAATACAGGCTAAAGCATGCATACGGTCCGATTCTGCTCTCAAGTTTCTTACCATAAGAAGCAGCCTCTTGAACAATGAAACCTTCAAGTGAAATTTTAGCATATCAGGCCATTTTCCACTTCATGTTCAAAACAATATGAGTCTAGGCAATTAGACACCCCTTTTTTATTACTGGCACATGTTACTTCTTACATTTATCATATAAGCAAGAGCAAGCACAAACACAGCAAAGACTCATGTCAGAAGTCGCTTCTTAAAAGTCACAAAATAACAGAACTGACTTTCAAAAAAATAAAGGCAATGAAGAAGCTTCTGAGGACAGAAACATGTCAATTCAGCAGAAGGAATGACTACCCTTCCACAAAACAGCTTGGTTATTTACTACCTCTATAAAATGCAACTCTAACAGATATATTTCATTCTTCTTATACTCAATGTCACAGTCCTTGAAACGTCCATACCAATAAAATCCCTAAACTCACGATTGCAGTGATTTATAGTCCTATCACATACACATTAAGAAAACCTTATTCAATTTATCCAAAAAAAAAAAAAAAAACCAGGCACCTGCATATTAAGGTCAAGCAAATGAAGATTAGTAACAACAGCTCGAACAACACTTTCTCTAGCAGAAGCAAACTCCTGTCTATCCCAAAGTGTCAAAATCGCAATAATTGACTGTGAAGCCCACTCAGGCTTCCCACCAGGCACATCAGCCAAATACAACATATTAATCCCAACGTCAAAAATCAATGCCGGTTCCAACGAAGATACCAAATATGGTGCCAAATGAGTCACCAAATCTGAAACCCCCACTAATTTCTCCGCATTCGAATCCACCATAGTCCCATTCACTTTAGCACCCTTCGAAATCTTCCTTATAACTTCCAATCCCCCCGAAGCCACCGCCTTTACTGCATAAACTAACGGAAAAACAGTTGCCCGGAAACTCTCAACCGGAAAAATCAACGACCTTGCCATTAAAGAGCTGCGTTTTTTCCAAACAAAGTCAACCGTTGAAGAAACCCAATTTGACCTTATAGCCAAAGAATTTTCACTATCCACAAGCTTATCCCCAGCTAATCGGCTCATTCTTTTTGAATCAAATTCTTGAAACAATCTTCCAACAGATTCAAATGCAACCTTCGAAACCGTGTCGGACTTGTCCAACATATTTAGCCCAATCCGAGCCCACCAAGCTGAAACCTTGTCGAGAAGATTAACGTTGTTTTCACATAGCGTTACGAGGTCGTCTCTAGCGAGGACACAGCCTAGAGTCTCGGTGATGGAGAACCGGAGGTTCTCAGAAGGGGAATCGAAACAAGCAGAGATCTCGGCGTTGGAATCAGAGATGAGTTTGGAGAGGGAATAGGAAGGGATGGCGGCGAGGATGGAGACCGCGGCAGCAACGACATCGGGATCGGGGAAGTGGAAGTCGTTACGGATGCCGATAGAGACGGAATCCCAAAGGTCGGCGGTTAAGCGAGTGGATCGGATAAGGTCGAAGGCGAGTTTTTTGCAGACGGCGGAGGCGGGAGCGGCGACGATTTCTTCTACGGCGGACTTGGCTAATATGGAAATGTCACGACCGGCAGCGGATTGTTGGAGGGCTGAGAGAAGAGCGCCGGATTGGCGTAGTGCGTCGTTTGATCGGAGGTCCGCTTGGATCTGAGCAAAAAGAATATCCATTAAGAAATTATATCTAAAACTTGAAAAAAAAGTGGAATTTCTTTGGGTTTCTTAACGAGACATTGAGAAGAGGGTTTGAATTTTGAAATAAAGACTCAAAGTTTTGGTTTTGAATAGTAAGTTTGGAGCATCTGATCTGATGTAACAAAGTGATGGAATTGCAGTGACAATGTTGTCAGCTGAGACTGACCACTGAAATTTTGGGCTTATTTTGGGTTTTTTTCAAATATGAAGAATGAAGACCCTAGCCCAAATTATAAACCAAAACTCGGTCTTAGGTTTTGAATCTCCTCCCTCCGTGCTTATCCTTCTTTTGTTTGATTTTTATATTAATACAGCTAGAGCTTAGAAGGGGGAAAGCTGATTCTGAGTCCAAAAATTCGACTACTCCCCTTTGTGATCAAATCCGAACTGATATAAAGAATCAAAGATTTAAACTCACAATAATTCAATAAAAAAAAATCCCAACTCAAAAAAATTGGATTCCAAAAAAGTTTGAAGCTTGTACGATTCGAGTCCCTTTCTTTTGATTAAAAGGGAAGAAGAAAAAAGAGATAAAATTAAGGGTGTGGGATATGATATAATTTAAAATATAAAAATATATAAAAAATATTTATATATATATTTTATATTAATAAAAATTATGACATAATTTTTATATAAAATATTATATAAATATATTAATTATTCATTTTTGTTTTACGAGACGCGCCAATTGTCCAAGGGTGGGGGAGACGGACATTAGGATTTAGGGGTGCAGGTGGGAAGCTTAATGCTTGAATTTCATGTCATTCCTTGTTAAGTACATATTAAATTGGTGAAATCCAACCATTTTCATTTTAATTTGAAGTTAAAACGGAACGATCAACGGGCAGATTCAAGAGAAATTCTGCATGAAAACTGGAAAAAATGGTGGTTGAGATTCGGCCATGGATGCATTTGCATTAGCATGCAGATGTTATAAAATGATCATTGCTAGCTGAATTTAGTACCTAAAATTAACAAGTATTGCTCCCTGGAGCTACAGTTAAATAATAATCACATCAGGAATTGAAGAGAAATTATCATAACTTAGATGAAGGCACTGCAGAGGGGATGGCAATCTTCCTCAGCTCCTTTCTCAATATTTTGCCCGCTGGATTCTTTGGTATGGAATCAATGAATGCTACACGCCTTATTTTCTTGTATGGTGCAACCTGAAAAACACCATAGATGAAATTACCAAGATCGTAGATTGAAATTACCAAATGCACGCAGCCTAAAAAGATTATAGTAACCATGCCACATTGTTCCACGAAAGCACCTGTTTTGCAACAAAATCCATAATTTCTGCTTCACTGAGGCTGCTTTGTGGCTGCCTTGATACAAATGCCATTGGAATCTCGCCAGCTTCTTCATCTGGGTATCTACCAAAGCCAAATCACCAGCTGCTTTAGTTTTATATTAAAAAATTTTCAAGGGAAAAAGGTGATGACTCTGGAAGCTATGGAAATTACGGTATCACTGCAGCATCAGATATCTGAGGGTGGGACTGAAGCAATTGTTCCAGTTCTACAGGAGCGACCTGCACAAGAAAATCCATCAATACATCGATCATCAGCTGCTGCTGATCTTGAGATATTACCTGATAACCCTTGTATTTAATCAGTTCCTTAAGCCTGTCCACCACAAACATAAAGCCCTCTTCATCAATATAACAGAGATCTCCGGTTCTTAACCACCCATCTGATACCAAAGTTGCTGAAGTTGCTTCAGGGTCAGCAGCATATCCTGCAAGTTCAATTTGTCTTGAAAATCAGCAAAAATTATCTAAAGCAACAATATTAATAGAATGATTGATATTTCATTTTTTTGACCTTTCATTATACAGGGTCCTTTGAGCCAAAGCTCCCCTTGTTTGCATGGAGGCAAGGCTTCACCAGTTTTAGGTTCTACAATTTTTGCTTCACAATAAGCTGCCAGCTTCCCCACTGAGCCCCACCGCTGACATGCCTCTCGACCAACAAATCCAAAAACTCCCCCTCCCGATTCAGTCAATCCATAACCCTATATATAGGAAATGCAGGAATAAGTGAAGTCAAGCCTTCGCAATATCGCAACTGAGTTGCATCATCGTCCAATTAACTACAAAGATAGAAATGTGAAACTAAGGCTACATGGCAGTAAGAGTATAATTGAGCCGAGTCAATGCAATGAAAAGCTCGAGTTCAAGCTTGAGTTGAAGCTCGTCACTTGAAATTCAACTTGGATTTAATTGAGTTTTAAATTTCAATTATGAGTTCGATCTGAGAAAACAATTGAGTTATTTGTTCAATTACTTTTGTTTAATAAAAAATAAGTTCAATTCTCAGACTTGATTTCAAACTTGATTATATATCTAAACTCGAGTTTATATTCGAATTAATATAATAGTAAAATAATAAAACATATTAAAATTTAAAAATTAAATTAAGCTCCTGAACTCAAAGATTTAAATAGAGGTCAGATAACAGTATAACGGCCGTTATTTCACGGTCATGCCACCATTTGCTACCGTTATTAAAGAAAAAACATGAAAAAATTTGAATCTCATTTGTGATTGCGAATTGTGGCGCAACGTTGAATAGTGGCAATAACAATCCGCTATTGCCCGCTCTTTCGTTTTTCATTCAAAAATTCAAAAAAAAAAAAATTTCATTTGATTCTATTTAAAAAAACTTAAAATAAAAAAAACAAGAAAAAAATAAACATCAATTTACAAATTCAAAAAAAAAAAAAACCTACAAAACTAAACTTCAAAAAATATCAATTCTCTTAAATTCAACTTCAATCAAAATTAAGTATATGTAATTTAAGGAAAGTAATTAATTCAACACTTAAATTACGTTTTTTCTTAATTTCCAAAATTACCGTGATTTTATGTGTTTGGGATTGGATTGAGCTATGATACATCGATAAAAGGGAGCAGGAGTTACTTAGACTTAAAATGAAAGACAACAGATGAAAGTGAGACTTGAGATTGATGGAGACGAGCAGATAGCACACACTAGAAAAAAAAAAAGTGAGAGATGAAGATGAAGATGAAGTTTTGGAGAACAAATTATTGAATGCGAGGTGAGGAATGAGAAGTTTTGTGAGTTAGTGCAATTTAATCAAGAGATAGAGAAAGTAAACTTGATGTTATTATTGTTGAAAATTGCTCACAACATGGAGGCTATCAAGTTTGATTTATTGTAAGTCCATAAAAAACAATTATCTTGACCCATAAATAGTAATGCTCTTACTTAATTTATGGATATCTAATCACTTACTATTTGATTTATGCATAATATAGTTTGATAATAATTTGATGAGTATGGTAATTAAATAATTAAATATATCATTAGTTATAATTATTTATTTTTCACATGTTTATTTATCTTTTATTATTTTTTAATTATCATATAAATAATTTTTTAAATATAAATATTTTATTATAAATATTTTTTTTACATAAATAAACCATATGATATAATATAAATTACTTTAAAAATCATAAAATATATGATTAATAATTAAAATTATTATATTTTATAGTAAATTAAGTAAAATTTAAAAAAATTCATGACTGTGATAACCATAATAACCATAAAAATCTTTGTTATATTTGCAACTATAACAAATAAAATATAATCGAAAATATGACCGCTATTGCAATTTAAATCTCTACCCGAACAATTCAAAATAGATGTTTAAAGTCAACTCGCTTGACTCGACTTTGACTAGACTCAGAATATAATCAAACCAAAATTAATTTTTATTTAAATCAAATCAAAGTAATTTACGAGTAACGATGTATCCCTACATAGCATGCAAAAGTTAAAAATGTAAATACAATGGCAACAGATTTGGCGTATGCTCCCACATCCACTGACTCTACTAAACAAGCATATTAACAAAGATTTATACTAACGATGATTTTTTTTTCTCCCGTACCTGAGTAAGAAGGACGTTTGGAAACTTCTCTGTAAACGCGGCGATCACATCTTCACCAAGCGGAGCACCACCACAACCGACCCATTCCAACGAACTCATATCAAAACCCTCCGTCACCCCGCCCTTAAGCATTGCCACCACCACTGGCGGAGCCGTCGCCAACCGCTGCACCCTAAAATACTCCACCGCCTTCACCGTTTTCTCAATATCGAAACGACCCATCACTACCAACGTTTCACTTAATGCAACAGATTTTATAAAATAAAAAAACCCAAACACATGAAAAAGCGGCATGGTATGAAGCACAACCGACGCTGCTTTATTTACTTCTTTAACAGAGTAATAGCCGGTAATTACTGAGATTAAATTCCGGTGAGTCAACATTACTGCTTTGACTTTTCCTGTTGTTCCTGAAGAGTACATGATGGCAGCTAAGTTGGATTGATTCACTTCAACTCGGTCGATATCCTGATCATTAAACCTTGGTTTCTTTTGCATGGCTGAGTTAAACTCGGGGGAGTCAATGAGAATTGTCCCATAACGAAGCTTGGGGAGCTTGTGGATAGTTGAGCTCAATGCAAAAGCGATCACTGGATTTGATAACTCGATTTGTCTGGAGATTTCTGACACAGTATTGAGTGGGTTGGCGGGTGAAACTATGACCCCGATGGAAAGCAGAGCTAAGTAAAGAATGTGAACTTGAACTGAGTTTGTCGAGAGAACAAAAGCTGTGTCTCCTTTGGATAGTTTGATAACAGTTTTGAGATAAAAAGCAAGTGAGTTTATCATGTGAATTAACTCGGGGTAGGTGATTTTTTGGCCGGTAGCTGAGTCGATGAGAGCAACCGAGTCAGGCCAAGGAGAGGTGGCTTGGAGAGAGAGAGAATGGGCAGTCACCGTCGAAGGAAGTTGTTCAGGAGGAAGTTTAATGGGTGGCCTTAAGCTGTGAAAAGTTTTTGTCTTTGAATTGAAGCCATTTTGGGGGTTGATTGTTGGGTGTTTTTGATCCATTTTTTGAGCTCAGATTTCTTGTCTGAGAATTCTGCTTCAGTTTATGAGTTTGTGTCAGCTGGAAACATCGATTGACAGATATGACAACACAATGATCTTTTCAAATCTTCATTAAGATGCCTACCTGCCTACGAACAATAATTCATCTAAATTCAACCATTTGTACAGGCAAATGAAAATGACAATTTTGGAATGTTAGATATCGTCAGCTGGATTTGTGTAAAAAAGAGGCCCAAACTTTGATCAGTCATGGATCAAGGATTCAAGGTTTCAGATTTTGTAATTTCTGAGCCTGTTTGGCCTAAATCATTATTGGGTTTCATACTTTCCCTCGAGCCTAAATATATATATTTTTTGGATAAATTCTTTTGTTGTACGCTCATTTCAACGCGATACATTATATAAATAGAACAAAAATATATAATTTAAAATTTTAATAATAATTATATATATAATATATAATATAAATATATAAATTTTATTTTTTATTCAACATAATGACACAAATTACCAAATCTATTCAGACTCCAACAGCACACTTTTGGCAATTCCCACCCACTCTCAAGTCATGTCTCATCCCACACCAATATAATTTTCCAAGAAAAAGTTCCATGAAATGATATTAGAAGTGGGCAGTAAAGAACATTTCAATCTATTCGATTTTAAAAACCTAAAAATAAAATAAATAATTTTATTTTAAATAATGGTTCGAATCCAATAAAATTAAAATAATTAAAACCGGATTAAGTTGATCGATTTAATATATTTATTTAATTTTAATTATTAAAAAATATATAATTTATATTATTACATAAAAATTATTTATATTTATCATATATTATATACATTTATATTATATAAAATAAATGGTGTATTAATATGTTTTGGACATCATTGAGTATAATAAACAAAAGAGAAAAAGGGTGCCAACTGCCAACTTTAGAAACATGGTCTACTTGAAAAAAATCAAGAATTGAAGATCAAATACCATATAGTTTCTCCATAGTTTGAGTTTGATCACAGTCTTCTGGTCCACACACCAAAGATTTTTGTTCTCTCCAATCTTAATCCGATCCAATTATTCCTCGGACCCCACTCTTCTCTTATCCCTTCCCTTCCTTTCCCCAAGCCAAAACTAACATCTTAAAGAAGTCCTCGTCTTTTTGACTCTCAAGTTCCTTCAGGCGACTTCATCAATGGGTGTCGCTTGTTTGCATAACAAATTCAATTTTGTTACTTTACCTCATCTTTCACTTCCATTCTCCAAGAACCCTAACCCCAGAATCTTTCCTAGAAAAAAGAACAATCTTTTTCTGGCTTCGGCTTCTGATACCCATGTGGCTGATTCAGGAAAGAAACTTAACAGCAAGAAAGATGATGAATTCGGGGACTTGAAATCTTGGATGCACAAAAACGGCTTGCCTTCTTGTAAAGTTGTGCTGAAAGAGAGGCCTTCGCGTGATGAGAAACATAGGCCTATACATTATATCGCTGCCAGTGAGGATCTTCAGGTAAATAAAATGGCTTAAAGTTTTGGTTTTGGTTTTGTCTGGTTTTTTAATGGGATTTCGTAATATTCGCGTTTTCCTATTCTGGGGTTGTGTTAAAGTTGCGCTTTTTTCTTCTTTTTTGATTCTGTGTTCTTGGTTTTCTAGGCTGGTGATGTGGCCTTTTCGGTGCCGAATTCATTGGTTGTAACGCTTCAGAGAGTGCTGGGAAACGAGACTGTTGGTAAGGTGCACTATATAATGTGTTGAAGATTTTATATAGCAATGGATGTTCTTTTCAATAGTGGAAACTTGATTCATATGGGATTTTTGTCTGAAGATGATATACATTGGTAATTTTTCTCTCAATTTGTAAAGGTGATTATGAACTTGGATGGTAGTTTAGACCGTTGCTACAACTGTTTCCTTGTACTTTTCCCTAGTCTGCCATGTAGATTTCTCACTTGCAAAACTAGAAATTGTAGAGTTCCGTTTGTCCAGCTATACTGTTTATAGCATTGTGGTATATGGTGAGTGATTAAAGGACAAGATAAGCAATGTAGAGTGGGATTACATTTCTTTGCAGTACTTATGGAGCATCTATGCCTGTATGTTTGTATCTAATGATATGATTTAAATTGAGTGGAAAAAAGGGGAAAAAGAAGCTGCTGTCAGATTTCATTTTTTAACTTGATTTGGTTGTGTAATTATGTTACTTGCCTGGTCTTTTATACAGCGGAACTTTTGACAACAAACAAGTTGTCTGAATTGGCATGCTTAGCTTTGTACTTAATGTATGAGAAGAAGCAAGGAAAGGAATCATTCTGGTATCCATATATTAGAGAGCTTGATCGACAACGAGGAAGGGGCCAGCTGGCTGTGGAATCTCCACTTTTATGGTCAAAAGATGAATTGGCTTACCTAACAGGTAGCCCAACTAAGGTAGCAATAGCAACACAAATGTCTGTTTATCGCCTTTCCCTTTTTTATTCCTGATTTACTGTTTTGTAGTTCATTGAGTTTCATGACTGAATTCTGTTGTTCAAAAGTTAGGCTGAAGTTCTTGAAAGGGCTGAAGGAATAAAAAGAGAGTATAATGAGCTTGATACTGTCTGGTTTATGGCTGGGTCTCTCTTTCAGGTATTGTCTTTCATATATATATATATATTTTATTTCCTTTCTAAAGCTTAGAGGGTGATCATAAATGTTTCGTATTTCTTTGCAATGCAGCAATATCCCTATGATATACCTACTGAGGTCTTTCCATTTGAGATTTTCAAACAAGCTTTTGTTGCTGTTCAGTCTTGTGTGGTGCATTTACAGGTTTTCTCTTTACCTGTTGATAACCTTTTCCAGTTTTCCCTATCAAGCTTTGAGGACTTGAGTGACATTCTAGATGGCGATATTCTTTATGTCTTTTGTTTTATAAAATTTAGAAAACTTGTTTGGCTATAAACCTTCCAGATAGCATTGCATATACCAAAACTCTCTCATCTTTTTCTCCTTTCCTGAAATTTTTGAAACATTATGTTTGAATGATAAACTGAAACTTGATTTTACTCAGAAAGTACCTTTGGCTCGAAGATTTGCATTGGTTCCTCTTGGGCCCCCATTGCTAGCCTACAGTAGCAATTGCAAGGCAATGTTAAGTGCCATTGGTGGTTCTGTTGAACTAGTGGTTGATCGCCCATATAAGGCTGGGGAACCCTTGTTGTCTGGTATAAATATAATGCCTTATTTATTGTCTGTAATGTTGATTTATCTTTCAGTCTTGCTTTAGAATCGAAACCTTTGCCTTCTAATTATTGCTGCATTTGTATCTCTAAGCACAAAATTTGAAAATGGTAAATTTCTTGTGTTTTTAGGTGTGGACCACAGCCTAATTCGAAACTGCTTATAAACTATGGTTTTGTTGATAATGATATTCTTATGATCGCCTGGTTGTTGAGGTAAAATCTTGATTTTCCAACTTGTATATGCAATTTCATGGTTTTCTTTGTAAATCAAGTTTATGCGCCTTAGTGAATGAACGGACATCTATACTTCCTTGCTTAAATATCTTATATGTGTTGAAAAAAAGGTTTATTAAAGTGATGGGATATGGTGTGACTTATAAGTTGGTGGTATCAATGAGATTGAGATTTTGTGTTTTTCTTAGTCAACCATGTTGATAGCTTTATTTACTGTATGTTCAGGCAGCTTTGAATACTGAGGATCCTCAATATCAGGATAAGAGACTGGTTGTTCAAAGAAATGGAAAGCTATCAGTACAAGTTTTTCTTGTATGAACTCAAACCTTGTATTAATTGGATTATATTGTAAGATATTCCCTTTTGATCCTTACTTTGTATCTGCTGCAGGTTTATGCAGGGAAGGAAAAAGAAGCTGTTTCGGATATGCTACCATATTTGCGATTGGGCTATGTTTCAGAACCCTCTGAAATGCAATCTGTTCTTTCTTCTCAAGGTCCAGTCTGCCCGGTGAGTTCATTTATTGCAAATTGTTACTTGCTTAATTTTAATTGCAATATAAGATTTATGAGAGTTATACTCTAATTGAAATCCCAACTAATTCAGTAAGATGACCAAACTAATGTGATTCAGGTAGGTCATGTTTTTCAAGAAAAAGTTTTCAACGGTGGCCCTTTCTTCTTTTGTAAAGAATGATTCTGGCTTCATCTGTGATAGGCAATTAAAATTCCAAAATCATTTTAGTTAAACAGAGTGGAACACTTTCTTTTTTTCTAAAATTCTGGTGAAATATACTTGCCCTAATAGGTGAGCCCATGTATGGAACGAGCGGTGCTAGACCAGCTTGCTTATTATTTCAATAGACGCCTGGCTGTCTACCCTACTACACTGAATGAAGATGAGTCATTGGTAATGTCGGTTCTCTTGACCAAGTTGACAACTAGATCTGAACTTATGGACTGTGAGTTTTAATAAACATATTTTTGTTACATTAGTTGTCAGATCCAAACTTGAATCCCAGGAGACGAGTTGCCACTCAGCTTGTTAGGTTGGAAAAGAAAATTCTCCATGCATGTTTGCAGGCAACAAATGATCTGATAGACCAATTACCTGATCACACTGTGTCTCCTTGCCCTGCACCTTATGCCCCCTTGTTGAAATGAAAGGTATCTTCTCTCACCTTCTGTCCCTGCTCTTCTGTCTTCTGTTTGCACTGTTAACTCTATATTGTTACTCATGTTTGTGTTAATGTGGATGAACTTTCTTCAGAATTAACTGTCTCAGTTGTAACTTGGCACCAGCCTAGTGACTAAGAATTGATTCTACCAGCTTCCTCTGTCCCATATGGCCAATGACCATTCATGATTCTACAGCCTTTAGAAACCCTTAGTGACTAAGAATTGATTCTACTTAACCAGAAATAATTTTTAGAAAGTGGGGATGCTTTGAGAAGTTTTTAGACTCTTGGAATGTACTAAAAAAAGTATAGAACCATCTTGGTGCTAGAGAAACAAGGAAAGTCACTTAATAATGGCCGTTGTCCAAATTCTTTATTACCATTGCTCATACTTTTTCATCGACTTTCTGACATCATGTTCTAAATGGTGCTTTTTTCCTTCTTTTCTTGGGATGTCTTGCAGGTAGATTTAAGAATTGGCAACTCTTTAGGAACAATATGGAATATGGGAAGTTTGTTGCTGGATCTAATAGGGTTTTAAGAGAGAGAGAATCATGGTTGCTCTTTTCCAAGTTATTGGATGCCGTGATGTGCCTTTAGCGATTGGTTCTTCAACATACATTAACACATGTTCTTCTTCTTCTTCTTCCTTCTCGCATACCTTCTTTCTCTCATTTTCTCCACGTGTCTAGCTGTAGTCTTGTAAAGAAGAGAAAGAATATCAGAATTTTTACCTACCGAGTGCATAGATAATTTTGGCTGCTAATGAATTTTGGCCATTCCTTGTAAATGCAGATATGGATGATTGTTTTTTAAATTGAACCTGATTTATTTCATTTGTGTAATTCTACCGTGTTGAATTTCTCCTAGGTTCTAACTGGATCCATATTAGAGCTGTCGCGGCTTGTAAATACTTTACCTAAGATTTGTATTCCGAGAAAGGGAAAGAGATTTTCTGTCGCACCTCCTGTAATTTCTTCATTTCAGCATCTAGCATGTACACATCACTGCAGCTAAGCAAACTTATGCTTGGTATGATAGGTTTAGAAAACAGGTCTGAATGATGATCATCATGGCTTGCAAAGTGGCATAAAGAACTAATCCATTAGCTAGCTATAATATACCTCCGGCCTGCGTGAAACGTTGGACGATAAGTGATCCAGGTTTTGCCATAAAATCTCCCTATTGAGAACCAATTACAAACAGTCGGTCATTGGCCACGACACGAGCCCTGGTAAAATGTTTAGTTGGATGGTCAGATCATGTTAAAAAGAGAGGTGGGGTGGGGAAGGGACTAAATAGAATCCTGAAGGAATAGCTCTGAAAGAGCAGCTGCGAGACCTATGCGGTCCTCCATGATGAATTGGGATCTCAGTGGGCCGCTCTTTCTCCAATGCTTTGCAATCTTTACTGCTATACTTCAGTGCTCCAATCCTGGTGTGTGGCGGTTTTCTTTGCTGCCTCCCATCACATGGAGTCTGCCTTCCCATAACTGAGTTGCTGGAGCATAGCTGAAAGCTTCAATGTTGCAAGTTAGTTCATTTGACAGTTTATCAAAGTCGACAAGCAAGGTAGAAAAAAGAAGTGTTGCTGATTCTCGTCTATTTATTAGAAAGCAAAAAGAGAAAGATTGAAGGACGAAAGAAAGAAACTTGAAAGGCCAATGGTTTTTAGTGGCTTTTGCATTTTTGTCGTGTCGTTTTAAGTTCAAAGGTTGGTCGGTACTAGGTGGTTGCAATGGGCTGTCTCTGCAAAACAGGGCCTGTCTTTTTGTTTCTTGGGTCATTTTCTCTTTGGGCTGTTTTTTTTGCTTTTGGCAAGTTGGATCTCACATTATTGAGACGAACGACCTGTAGACATGAGCAGATTTCCAGGCCATCCAAACCACAGAAACTACTGACTGTTGGTGGACACGCGACTAAATCGATCACAGTTTGTCAGGTGTTCTCTTTTTATCCTTTCGTTCCTTTGGACCTCTGAAGCAGCGGCCAGTACCTTTGACCACCAGCCTTTCTATTCAACCTTCAATCTCATTCTCAAGTAAGTTATCTCTCTCTCATCTCGGGGTTTTATTTTTTAATTATTTTTCCCCCACAGTTCTTGGATCTGCCCCCATATCCCTCCATGTTAGGGTTTTGTCAAGTTTCTCTTTTTTATCTCACACTTCACCTTTTTGGCTTCTTTGTGCCATTTTTTAATTTGGGTTTTCTTTTATATGTTGAAAGTCCAAAATCTGACTATTGATTTTATGAGTACCCAATTGTTTGAACTCTCTAAAGTTTTTTCCTTTTTGGAGAATTACTGAATATTTGACTAAAAAAAAAAAACCTTTTTGGAGTTGTTGAATATATTATATGAATTCTCTGTTTAATTTCTTCTGCTCCTTGGTTTTTCTGTTATTTTATTCATAAGTATTGTTTTGCTTGTTAAGGTTCAGCTGATTTTACAGGAATATTAACTGAAATGGCTGGAGGATTGATCCACCAGGTCTTAAGGAGGAAACTTCAATCTCAGTCTGCTGTAAGATTCTTTTCTCCTTTTCCTGTGTTGGTATTAAAGTTACCTTTAGAATGAGCTTATACGGACCCGTAGTCTACATGGTTCTTACTGGATTTTCTTATGTCACCTAGAAATATTTAGCTACATGGATTTTCCACTTTCCTGAAGATAAATTCTAACTTTTAAGGCCAGTTTTGTTACACTGTGATGTATTTTCATCTCTGAATAATAATGAAAACTTTCTGTTAGGCTGCCTTTTGTCTGATTCTATTGGACTCAATTCAGTGCAGTTTAAGGTTTGCTGCTAAATAATAGATATAATTTAGCCTAAGATATTTTTTTTCTGTTAGGGTGCCTTTTGTGTGATTCTATAGGATTCAATTCAGTGCAGTTTAAGGTTTGCTACTAAATAATAGATATAATCTAGCCTACGATAATTTTCTCCCAGATACCAATACTTGTTATGCATTTTTGCTCAGATTCCAGCTTTGTCATGGTTTACGTCAAGGAAAGTTAATGAGGATGCCGGATCTACTGGTATGAGGACAGTTGCACTCCTTGGAGCTGGAATTTCAGGTTTGCTAGGTTTTGCAACAATGGCATCTGCTGATGAGGCTGAACATGGGTTACATGTTCCTAATTATCCTTGGCCTCACAAGGGTATCCTCAGTTCCTATGACCATGCTTCGTGAGTTTTATGCCTCTCCTTTTTTATTATGTGCACAAAAGTGAATAAACTTTACTTAAAAAAAAGGTGATCCAAATAGAAAGTTAATTATTCCAGTATATATAGCTGGCAGTAAGCTGTCAGCTTGTCACTTAAGTCCTTGGCCATCAAGTCTTCGTAATAGTAATGGTTTCTTCCTTTTAGCTTGTATTCTACCTATTCTCTGCACAAGAGAAAACCTTCTATATGTCTCACCTTCTAATTAGAATAGGATGCATCTACCTAAACCAAGGGTGCATTTCTTCCCTATGAATTTATTTAAATCTTTTGATAAAATTGTAATATTTGTTTAAGCATTGGCAAAATATTTTAATTTTTTGATACTATAATTTTGATGACATGAGATTAATTTTGCATGATCAGGATTCGTCGTGGTCACCAGGTTTACCAACAAGTGTGTGCATCCTGCCACTCTATGTCTCTAATTTCATACCGCGATTTGGTTGGCGTTGCATATACAGAAGAGGAGACAAAGGCTATGGCAGCTGAGATTGAGGTGGTTGATGGACCTAACGATGAGGGTGAGATGTTTACTCGTCCTGGTAAACTCAGTGACCGTTTTCCTCAGCCATATGCAAATGAACAAGCAGCTAGGTTTGCTAATGGAGGAGCTTATCCTCCAGATCTAAGTCTCATTACCAAAGTAATTCCTGCCTTGCTTTTTAGATCGCATTGAAGTTACTGATTATATATCTCTGAGATATCATATTTTTATTCTCTCAGGCTCGTCATAGTGGCCAGAATTATGTGTTTGCCCTTCTAACTGGTTACCGTGACCCTCCTGCTGGCGTTTTGGTAAATTCTGCTTTACACTATCTTCCATAACATGGCATTTTGTACAAACATCCAATATTGGAACTCTATATCATTGTAGAGATATACTGTTGGCAGATATATTTAGATATTTGGCAATTGAGAGGATACAAAGGAAGGGGACAATGTGGGCCTGAAGTTGAGATGAAGTTTTTTGTATCTCTTCAAATTTGGTTCGTTTTACCTGCTGCAATTCAACGAGTTTCTATCTTATGAAAATGGCACTTTTTAAATTCTATGGCTTTCTGTTACAGAAATAATTCAGAATCCTTACCATTGATTTCCCCTGGTCCATAGTTCTTTCTATTGGAAACTTCTGTATGTGTGTGCGTGGCACATGCATGTACACTTTGTTGTTCATAGCAGGCTACACATATTTAGTCTCCACTGATTATTTTTGGCTGGGCCATACTTAAAGTAATCATTCCCCAATTTTGTAGATTCGAGAGGGGTTACATTATAATCCTTACTTTCCTGGGGGAGCAATTGCCATGCCTAAAATGCTTATTGATGGTGCTTTGGAGTATGAAGATGGCACCCCTGCAACAGAAGCTCAGGTTGGTTTCTACTTTCTTTTTCATTCATATTGCATATGGGTTTGAGAACCCTCCTAAGTATTTGCATATTTGATGGGGTACATGGCTCACTCTTCCATATTGTTATGGTGTAGATGGGGAAAGATGTGGTGACATTTTTGTCATGGGCAGCAGAACCAGAAATGGAAGAAAGGAAAATGGTGGGTATTATTATCATAAACAACTATTTCATCGATAGACCTTGTTTTAACGAATTTATTTCTGATATTTCTGTCTTCTAATGCAGATGGGTTTTAAATGGATATTTGTATTGTCATTGGCATTACTTCAAGCTGGTTATTACCGGCGCATGAAGTGGTCTATTTTCAAATCTCGCGGCTGGTAGTTGATGTTATCAACTAGTCTCCCCAGTTTCTCGCATAGTAAATGGCATTTTGGGGTTTTAATTTAGCAATAATTGCATATTGGGATGATCTGGGTTCTGCCATGACCAGTTGTTGGTTCTTTTTTCTCAAATGGTAAATGGAGGTGACCTGAATTGAGTCTTTTTTTTTCCTAGTTGAGGAAGAAATAAGCACGTCCATACACGTACATTATTTTTTTGCTTTGAGACATTGAATATTTTTAGATCTCTTTTTCAATGCTTCTCTTATGGTTGGTATACTTGAGATCACTGTTCTCAGTGTGGACTAAAATTGTCATTATATATCTGTGAATGGAATCCGTTTGAACAAAAATCGCCCACTCATGATTTTCATCTATTTCGTGACATGGTGTTCTTTAAATTATTTCTTCTAGTGGAAACGTGGATCAACTTGTTGACGTCCATGGTGGCTAATTGGTTTGAGTTGTTATTCACTGTTGAAGGATAGGGATACATGGCTAGAGCCATTAGACTTTCCAGATTCCTTAGCATGGTCTCATAAATTGATTCACGATTTGATTGAATCCAAATAGCATTGCCTGGAGCCGGGCGCCTGGAGCCTCGAATTATCTACTGATATCATTACTTGCGGTAAGGGTTTTGATGCAAATCAAGCATGCCATGCGCTTCTTTTAATTTTATTCACCAACCACTTTTGAATAATAAAAAGGTTCCAAATACAACATCAGGAGTACAAAAGGAACTAACTAACCCCTAGAACAAACAAGAACAAACTAGAACAAACTTTAGAAGAACAAACTAGAACAAACTTTAGAAGAACAAACTAGTACAAACCTCAGAACATCAACTTCAACTAATCCTCATCAACAGAATCCACACTGGTAGATAAATGAGGAAAATACCAAACGGGTGAACTTATGAAGATCTTTGGTTTCCCATCCTTTCTAGTTACCTGCACATGCTCGTTCGTACTTCCAGCAACATACCGTGCCCTGTAGCCACCTAAAATGCGTGCGTCTTCCAGGTAGCAGACCCGATTCAAGGGCTGGCTAGTGCGAGCCTTAGATGGGGTTGGGAAGCTTAAGCCACAACACTTCATGTCACCCAAGAACAATATTTCACCATTTAGTTTCACCTTCTCCCATTCCATCCTCTCAAAGTCTAGCCTGTGAACCTTAATAGGACCTGCTTTTGCATAAAAGCGAGCGAGATAGAGCTCTTCATGAGAAGCAACTAAATGCAGATTATCTATGGGGGAAGAAACACTTCTCACTTGCAGATATGTCACCAAATGATCAGAGTTCAAATTTAAAGTCCCGATTTGGCCATTTCTACTCAAGATATATATCTTACCCTTGAAGACAGTAACATCTACAATCACCAGAGGATCCTCCTTATTATATTCAATGATAGTCCAGTTACCATGTCTAGACGTACAAAACTGTACGAAAGGGTGCAACCTGGAAAAAGCTACAATTACAAATTCTGGATCAGACTTGGGCAAAGAAGCCACAATGACATGACAATACCTTCTAGGTGGACTTGGAAATTGAGTTCATGCCTTGTAAAAGGATTCACTAGCCATATATTTGCCTTCTTTTGTCATTTCTGAGTCCCTTAAGACCAAGTACCCACAAGTGAATCCCACACATTTATTCCCTGCAAGGTGAGGCAGTCCTGCCTTGTAAAGTCCGTTGTCAAATATGTTGTAGAAGTAGCCATACTTTCTAGCTTTTGTTGGCATGAGAAAAACAAGTGGGGCTTTGAGATGCCATAAATTCTTGCTTCAATGCAATAGCAACGAATCTCCATGACTTACAAACACAAGCAAATAACAAGAATTCTAATCACCCCCAACTGCTTCAGGATCACCACAAGTAGATCAGCTGGGAGTTCTGACCACCGTGAGCAATTACCAACCTCAATCTCCATTCTTTTTCTGCTACCCCCACTGAAATCAAGTGTCATCAACCCTTTGCAAATCCATGCCTCTTTTCCACAAAAAAGAGAGATAAATCACAATTCATCCATTATTATGTTCAAAAGCAAATAAGAGCCTACTTGTATCAACAATAACAGTAGAATGGTATCTTTTTTTATTATACAAACTAAAGGTAAACATCAAATGTCTAAACATTTGGTCTTAAGTAAAAAACAAAAACAAGCAAATGAAACATTTTTTTTAAGGTAAAAAAATCCTTAAATATTTCTAGGCAAAGAAGATTCAACATAGAATTTGGAATAAGTAAACAAACTCCCTTTTTTATAGAAACTATAAATTTGAGCAAAAATCTGTTTGCTATCCAAGAAAATCCACAATAAACAAAGGTTAAATATCAAAAAAAAAAAAATCTCAGCAAATAAACAGATGTTTAATGTGATAAAACATCAAAACAAAGAGGAAATCACATGTTACTGCAAAAAATATTTTTTAAAAAAAATACCTGTTTAGAAGTTTTCTTTTGCTTTAGAATGAGAGAGATGGGTAATAACCAAAGTGCATATATAAGGATTTCATTAGGTTAGCATTAGGAAATACTTAAGAATTTTCCAAACTAAGAAATTGGTTGATAAGGAATTTACATTTTTGGCTGGAATTGCTCATTAAGATCAATAGGCGCTTATTACTAAAATTGTATTTTATTGGTTAAATTTCATCAATTCTTGAAATAAAAAATTCTTTGATTTATAAATTTCCTCGATTATTGGAAATAAAAATTCTACGGCTTATTAACAAATCATATAACTTAAAAATTGTATGATTTATTAATAGATCATATAACTATTAGTATACTTATTGCTAACATTGTATTTAATTACTTAAATTTCCTTAATTATTGAAATTAAAAATTCTACGATTTATTAATAGATCATATAAATGTACGAAATTAAAAATTTTACGATTTATTAACGAATTATATAGCTGTTTATATAATTGTGGACATTAATATTGTTTTTCATCAGTACTAGTTAAAAGGTTCTTAATATTTAATATTGACTGAATCTTAAATCTTAGGTTAGCATTAGGAAATACTTAAGAATTTCCCAAATATAAGAAACGGCAGATAAGGAATTTACAATTTTGGCGGGAATTGTTCATTAAGATCAATACACACTTATTACTAAAATTGTATTTTATTACTCAAATTTCATCCATTATTGAAATTAAAAATTTATGATTTATTAACAAATCATATAACTTAAAAATTTTACGATTTATTAACAGATCATATAATTATCGACATTAACAATGTTTTTTCATTAGTATTAGTTAAAAAGTTCTTAATATTTAATATTGACTGAATCTTAAATCTTAAGGTTAATTGTGTAAAAATAGTTGTTGCTATTGTTATGTATGATTATTATTTCTTTTATTACTAAATTTTTTTGCCTTATTCTTACTAAAAATGTAGAAAGGAGAAGAAACAAATTGCATAATAAATTTTATTTTTTATATAATTTAATTATCAATTATCATTGATTTATTTTTTAACCTTTAATTCCTTGAAAATTAGGCCTAATCCAACAATAATGAAAAATATTTTTTTTTGGTAAGAAAAAATCCTGGAATAGATAGGTTGTTCAGTCTCTCAAGTAAGGATAAGATGTGTCGTATCTGACAGTCTAAAACAGGTGTCATTTGAGATGACTTCAATAAATGATCATCGATGAAATTCGAACTTAAAATCTTCTCATCGAAAAAAAATAACCTTAATCAATTGAATCAACAACTTATTAATAACATGAAATGACTTATTATTCTTATCTCATTTATGCCCGGCCTCATTTGAGCTCAAAACTTTATAAGGTTATTATCGTTGACCGAGGCCCAATTTCCAACTACGAATACAAATTCAACTAATAAAAAATAAATTTCACAAAGATAATTTCAAAAATATTGATGATTGAAGGAAGATAATATAAATTTACTTATTATGTATTAAACACTGTATTTTTTTTTATTGATGTGTGAAAAAAAAATTATCATTTGCCAATATTCAAATTTCTGTGATATACATCTACCTATGTATCTCAAATTCTTGCTCCATGTATCACAAGCTTAATTAAATTTACATTTTCAATTAAAAAAAATTGATTTATCATGCAAATTTTTTTAATCAGTCTAATAGCTAGCTACTAACTTTTTTTTTAATCTAATGATCAAATTTTTAATAATTTTCCATAAAGGTCTAAAAAATTAGCCATAATAATTGGAAAAAATGAGGATGACAAGGCTACGATGAGATAGAACATAGAACATAATTATGTTATGGGGATGTTGAAAAATATTCTTGAACTTGGTCCACTGGATAATGGTTGGATTTTTTTAACATGCCAAGTAAATCCGAGGAGTAATCATAAAATTTGAACCCATCAATTCCATAACAAATTAACACAAAGAAGTGAGATCTTTCATTGATTAAGTATTGGATGTTGCTTGATAAGTTTAGACTTAGTAGCCTTTATGGGTAAGACGATGATGGTGACTCACCCAGATTAGATATGGGTTTAGGTTATTATTTGGGTTTCTTTATGAAGATTAAATGATGGATTAATGTTCTGATTGTATCAACGAAAAAAACCTTTCAAAAAATAATTTTCATATTTTCATGCATTTATTTGATAAAAAATTGATTGTTCAATGAAAAATAACTTATTAATCAACAAAAAATAAAATCATTTTTTTAAAAAATTATCTTACGAATTTAAAAAAAATATATTTTTTTGAAAAAAATTTATCTATAATTAAAATTATTTATCAATACTTTTGAACAAAATTTTACTTATAAATAATATTATACTAATAAATAAATAATATTATATTAATAAACAATATAATATTAATATAATATTTTAATAAATAATATAATAAATAATAAATAGATTTATTTAAGTATTTTATTAATATAATATTTTAATACTAAATATTATTGTTAAAATATAATTATTTTTTAATATTAATAATTTTGATAATAAATATTTTCAATATACTTTACTAATAAATAATTTAATATTTTAATAGTTATATTAATATTATTTTAAAAAATACAGATTTTTTCAAAAAAAATGAAAAATATTTTTTATTAACTCCTCTAAATAATAAAAAATTTCTTTTAATTCAAAAATTTAAACATTTTCAAAAATTATTTTTCACGAAGCAACTTTATATCTAGCATAAAGGATTGTTATCGTGAGATTTAAACATCAAACTTATTAGTTATAATCTCTTCAAGGTGACTGCATGATCGATTTTTAAATCACTACATCGAATAAGTACCCACGAGTGTTCGAATCCACTTTCCCAAATCGAAGAAAAAAATGCTTAAAAGTCACATACCTGCCTTGATCTGGATTTATACATATTGCTACATAGTTTTTCTACATAGCATTAACTCAATCCATGTTCATCTTGAGCAGATCTATAACAAACTTGGCTTAGCTGATACAAACTAGGCCTCATAACATCTTCAACATTCTTTCACACAAATTATTGTGCATGAACCTTATTTGCTTTGGTGAAGTTGATTGATGTTTCGATCAAAAATCTGGGCTAGCTTCAAACCTTGATCTATATGACAGCTTGACATAGCAATGAAATTATTCAGTACTATTTATAACCCCCTGAGTTCAACACTTACCATGCATATATACACTTCCAGGAGTAAGCTGCACAGTTTAGTTCTTTCTTTTTGATCTTTTGATGCCGACGGCCCTCAATTAGAAAAAAAACCTTGACAAATTAAGGAAAATTTGTTAGAAAATAGAGAATTTTGCATGACACTACTGTATGCAAGGGTAAATAATAAGTTCAATTATTCTTATCCAAACACGTCATAGATTTTTGCATGTATGTATTCATGCGATCTTATTTGTGTGTGCATTCTCATAGGTATATGAAGGGTATTTTTCGGCCTAAAAGTAAAATACTTGTTTTTTCCTCACTAGAAACTGTTAACAAACAGTCAGAGGCATTTTCAACTTTTGAGTCGATCTAATATGTCATGCTGACCTAACATATACAATGCCATGTTAACTCGATCACCTCACCAATTTACACCGCAGACCTCTCACCTTTCATTCATAAATAGGACCATCCAAATATTATCTAATCATCTTGCTTTCTTCTACTTTCTTTCTATTTTACTTTCCTTCTGACCTTCTATAGCCGATCTCTGACTTGAGCATCGGAATACAAGTGTAGAGAACATTATCTATCTTTACCTTTAATCGCTCTCTTTCACTTTCTTATGATTTCAAAGTTTTACATCTCAACTCGGACCTCGACACAAACAATATATATATTGAAGTGATCTTTCCTAATTATAGATTTTCCTACGTTAATCATATATATAATATGCCAATTGTCAGTGGTCCAACATCATGCTTATATGTATCCCACACCTTATAAGCTAATTATACTTTAACTCAAACAATATGCATCATCATTTCTTAGCTTCTCTAAAGAAACCCAAAAAAGAGAATGTCCTAAATGAACTTGCTTACCTAAATCTCCTTAAATACAAAAACAATCATAGAACTAAACACTAAAGTATGAACTTCAACAACAACAGCCAAAAACACATTAAAAAGCCCCAAAAAACACCCTAAAGGTCTTGTTCTCTCAATCATCATCATTTATAAGTATATAAGACTAATCATCCTTGTTTCCATTGAAGTGCTTCAATTCATATATATATATATATATACACATACAATTCTCTAGGATGGAACCCACATTTATTATGTTATTTAGCCATCAACTTAAAGTATGTTCTGAATCTATATGTATGTATGTATATGTATGTGTATATATATAAATATATAAGTATCATATTACACTTATTGCACCATCACATATATATATTCCACATTTATCATGTTATTTACCCATGAACTTAAAGTATGTTCTGAATATATAATGTACGTATGTATGTTTGCAATATGTATGTGTGTGTATAAAAATATATAAGTATCATATTACTTGCACCATGTATGTATATATATATATATATATATATATATATATATGGCTTACTATGAAAACTTTTACCATACGTACTACTTAAATTAGTGTACTTTTACCCAGTGTGAGTGTGTTTTCAACTTTCTTGCATAATTAGCTGTCTGTGACAGACACATAGTTGGTTAGCTTTGAATATATATTTAGATCCACAGTGATTTGTGAAATTCCTGTTCACGAGTTTGTTTAATTTGGCTTATGGAAATACATAGTTTTCTTAAAACTTAGTACTTATTATCTAGGATCCTAGCTAGGTCTAGGGTGTGGATGGCTGAACAGGAATTCAAACTCAATATGATTTCCCCTAGAGAAAGGGAGAGGATTTCTAGTGAGCTTAAGGCATTCAGTCAACAACCCAATTTCAACCAGCCACTCCTCAATATCACAACCAAAATTGAGGAATTCAACTAATAGACCCAACTGTAGTATTTCCCCATCTACCAAACTGGTAAAAACGAACACCACCACACAAAACAACACAGCTCATCATCAGTACTCTAATTTTCTATCAGAATCTTGAATATTGGGTAGTTTTCATTCTTTCTAGCAGCATCCTCCACCTCATCTGTTCCAATAAAAGTAGCAGATAAAAAGAAAAGTTATTTCTACCAGCTTCCAGCAAATCCTGCTTTGCCAACCTAACAATTCCTTACGAACATTTTAAAATACCAAATATATATATATATATATATAAAAGATAAATCTTAAACTTTTTAAATACTATATAAATATAATATAATATAAATATAATATAATGATATAATACGAAAAAGATATGAAAGTATTTATTTTGGGTTACGAGTGTAGAAATGAAGATGATATGATATTTTTTATATTTTATACATATTTAATATGAAAACAATATATACCAATAGTGATCTAATATGAGAAAAAAAATCCTAGGACTCCTAAGAATATGGGTTTTGTTTGTTAATACCTTAAACGCTCTTAAAAATCCTGTACCCCATTTTCTTTCTTTTCAAGTTCCGTGCGCAGTTCTAATTGCATTTGATACCATAAATTTTTTAGTCTTCATTTTTATAATTATTATTACTACTTAACAAGTAGTTTTAGTACGTTCTTTTAGTTAAAAGAACAGTCCACATTACCTGATTTTTCTTCTATTTTGCTTCATTTTTTTCTTTATTTACTACTTTGATCCTCATTTTCCTGAACGGCCGAGACTGAGAGCAGCCTCGACGTCGAGCCGCCATGCAAAGCCACCGTCACCATCCAGTTTCCAGACATCACACGGCAACATTCTCGAGCACTTCTCCTTCTGCCACGTGTACTGCAACCTTACCTTGCATGAAAATGCAGTGCAAAACCTAGGTAACTCTTGTTTAATCACGAGCCAAACCATTATCTCCGGTGGTGGTGACAGCAGCCCGTCGTCATTCCCTTCCCCCGCCGTCATCATCCTCTTGTAAGCCCCGTTAACCCACCAAACCGTATTCAAACCATCTGATATAAACCCTGGACACGTGTCAGCCTCCAGATTCTTCATTCTTTCCACGTCCGTACTCCCTAGCTCTCTTCCTTCCATGCAACTGTCTGCCACGCACTCCACCGTCACCCAAGACTCCACCACCGTTACGCTTCTCTTTTGACTCATCACCACTGTCCAATCAGGTTCTTCGAAACCTCCCATACGATCAACCCGCCAACGGTTGTTGAAGTTCAAGTTAAATAAAGAAGGTGGATCTTGATTTTCCTCCATAACTGCACTGTTTTGATTGTTAATAGATCCGTTTGCTTCAGTTTTGTCTGGTAATAACTGCAAGGTAACAATCTTTTCAGGATTCTTTGAAGCCTCTCCATGATCTGATGACGATCTTTTCTTTCTCTTGATATTATTCTTTCGAACCCTAACGTACTTTCTTTTAGCTCTTGGCTTACAAAGCAACCAGTTTTTATCATCAAACCGAACCCCACAGGAACCTGACTCTCCGGCGACCGGTTTTGGAGCTATCGGCCGGAATCTTAGCATTATCTCATTGATCACAGTCTTATCTCGTGAACCCCCTTTGTAGCTAACCATGCTCCTTTTCTCACCGCCGTTCGTCTCTCCGCCGCCGTTTTAACCACCCCCAGAAAAATCAGAGCTTCTCGTCCCTTCTCTCTTCAAATCTCAATCTTCAGTCTTAAATTTCGGGATTTTTTTGGAAGGTTTTGTTTGTGAGAAGCGATAATCATAGCGGCAAATTAACAGCGAAGTAACACCTGGCTATGGAACAAAGAACAGTGGAGCGATGTGATTGGTTAAAATTTTAGTGGGGCCCACAGAAAAAGTGAAGGGGACGAATCTAGTATGATTGAGCGTTGGAGATGGGCCCCCGATGAGGACCAATGAGAAGAAGGCTTGTGTTCAGCATTGCCGAAAGAGAAGGGACACGTTTGTGAACAGAGTTTTATACTGTCGAATGAAGTGGAAAAAGCACAAAAGGCTTTTAATGGGGGAGGTTCGAGAAAGCGCACACTTGGTCCTTGCTCATTAGCTTTCGTCCTCGGTTCTCTAGTTTCACATCTCACATTCTTCCACTCGCCACTTCCCCCGTGAACACTACCTTACAGCTAACTCCCTTAGCAAAAATTTTAATATATTTAACAAATATTGTTGTACATTGATTTAAGTATGAAATACGTATAAAAATTTTAATTTCAATGTGATAATATAACTCCTTAAATACCTTAAAAAATCAAGAATAACAATTCAATAAACTCAAATTTTAAATTGATTTTAAAAACACAATTAATTTATAAAAATATAAAATTATTACCTAAACTAGGGACTGATGGAACGCACAAAATTAGCGCGTGGAAGAGCTGATTTAACGACAGCACGAGGGACGCGTGGCGGATTCGACAAAGCGGTGGATCTATGAGTACAGATTTCTGACGTCATCCAATTTTCAAAGAAGTAGTTCCATGTGTTTCTTTTCTATGGAATTTGATTTCTGCTGATGCCACGTGCATTGTCTACAATTTTTTACTACAAAAATTACTAAATGGCTTTCCTAGAGGAATTGTGTGAAAAAAGCCATTTGGCACGAGTGTCTAGGATCTAATACCAATTAAACTTAACGTAACCTACTTTATAATGGTACAATTAATATTTTTGTTTATTAAAATTATATTTACTACACTTATGTTTTGTTTTTAGTTTAAAAACATTAATTATTTAAATGAAGCATTAATAGCTAATAACTATTATGACGGGCTAAAATAAAAGAATTTATAAGTTGTTGGACATAACTATTATTTGTAATTTTAAAAATATTTTATTCAAGACTACTTATGTATACCATCATGTTTCCAGCATCACCAATCTTCCTTCGATAGATTTGTTAATTATACAAAAAAATCATATATAAATTATTATTTAAAAAATTATATATTAAATATTAATATATAATACATAATTATTGGTTAATTTTACCTTTCTTTTCAATATTCGTAGTTGTCTTTTTTATTTTTGTATAAAATTATTTTAGTAATTATTTCAAATTTTATTAAAAAATAATTTTTTTAAATTTATTTTTTTATTTATAAAACTCGAAACTAAAATTTTACTTTAAAAAATCAAAATTTTATATCACTACATTAATTTAATTATCTTCCATTTTTCATATTTTTCACGCTTTTGAAATATTCATTCCACATTAAAATTAGTAGTGTAAAACCTACCACGTTGTCACAATTTGTTAGATTTTTTCCTTTCACAATACATTATAAATCTCTTCCTAATCTAATATTTATAACTATACACAAACAAAACAAAACAAACCTACATATTTATTTTTTGTATATGCATCCATTGTTTTGTACTAGCATTCTTGTTTTCTTTACAAAGTATTACGAGAACAAAAAAGTTTAAATTACCTGCAAAAACATGGAAATTTATGATTTCATTGGTTTTTCCATTTTAGAGTCCCAAACTGAGTGCAGCCTTGACATCGAGCCTCCACGCAAATCCACCGCAGCTCATCTTCCACACATCGCAAGGAACCATTGTTGAGTGTTTCCTGCTCTTATCCTTTCCATCGCCGTACTGTAACCCTACGCGGCATGAAAATGCACCATGTGGGAACATGAACCCGTCTTTTACCACCAAGCCTATGGCGGTTTCAACCCCTTCAGCGTCCACGCCCACCATGTTTTTAAAGGCTTGGTTCACCCAGAAAACCCGGTTCAACGTATCTGATACAAACCCAGGACACGTGTCCTTCTCAAGATTCTTCATTTTCTCAAAGTCTGTACAGTTCCTCATCTCTCCTTCGTCCATGCAAGTGTCCGTCACGCTCTCCACCTTCACCCACGATTCCATCACCGTCGTCCTCTTCCTGGGGGATGTTACCAACGCCGTCTGATCCGACAACCCCATCATCGCCACGTCATCTGCAACCACTTTCTTCAACTTCAAGCACATCGATGGTGATTCCTGTTCCTGAAAATAATAATTATTACCTACCGTTGGATTGAGATCATCAACAACACCTAATGACCCTTCACCAACCATCGATTTCTCTAGATCAGCTTCCTCTGGTATCAACTGTAGAGTAACAAAACTCTTCTCCCCATCTTTATTTTCTTTAGATTCATCCAAGATTCGTCGCTTCATATTATTTTTCTTACAAACCCTAACGTATTTTCTTTTTGCTCTCTTGCTAGCAACAACCAAGTTTTTGTTACTAAACATAGAGTCCCTGGAAACTGAGTCTCCGGTCACCGGTTTGGGAGCAATCGGCCGGAATCTGAGCATTGTCCTGTTGGTTATCGTCTTATTTTGTACCCCACCAGCGCATTTTAGCATGCTCCAAGGATCTTCCCCTTCCATTTATCCTTCAAAATAACGAAAACCCCAACAATAGCTCTCTCTTCGTTTTTGTCTTAAATTTTCTTTGGGTTTTATTTTCTCGGTGTTCTAGTTTTGTATATTTTTTTCTACTAAGGGGCTTTACCGGAGCTGAAGCGATAATCATAGCGGCAGCAATCCTGGCCAGTGCACAAGACGCCACGTGTCCTAGGCGACACTTGAAATAATGACGAGCCTTGATTGGTTGAAACCCAATGGGCCCTAGAGGAAAAAAAAGTTGCTAGTTTTGGCGTGTTGCCAATGAAAAATGAGGATGTGTCAGAAATTCCGTAAAAGGCGGACACACGTGGCCGTACCTCGGGAGATGGCATAAATTTTGTTCTTCATGCCATTTGGTGGGTAGGTTGCAGAATATCTTAACACGTAGCTTCTTTTCATTTGTTACAAAAGAGTAAGTTCAGTTGACAGTCACATCTACTTTTCCTGCTATGAAGCGCGTGAACGCAAACGTTTAATATTTTTGGAATGCCCCAGAGCTGACTCAGTTTCAACTGTATTGTTTTTTTTTTTTGCCAAACAACTGTGTCAGTAATTTATTATTTAAGTTGATTAATTTAGTTTGAATAATAAAAAATAAATTTTATTAATAACCATTGCTTATTTTATTGAGACCAAAATAGTTTAAGAAAATGGTTTTTTATTTAATCCACCATTCTCATCAATTTAAAAAAATAAAATCTCATTCACAAAATAATAAGATTATTCTTAAATTTGTTTTTACTAAGATCATCTTAATGAATATCAACATAGATCAATTAATATTTCTCTTATCATATATTTTAATCTCACTTTATTTGTCTTTGTTTGATTTTTTGATTAAATGAACTTAATATTAATTATTATATTTAAAAATTTTATATTAAACTAATATTTTAAAATTTTAAAAATCTTATATGATTTTATTAAAAATTAAAGTTAAATTCATTTGACTTAAAGAATAATACAAGGACAAGTATAATGAGACCAAAATAGTATTACATATAATGTTATCTAAAAATTATAATATTGGTTTACATGAGAAATTAAAAATAAAAGCAAAGCAACTAATTAACCAGGCCGTGAATAATGTAAATAGAGTGTGAGCACGGGCCGGGCTGAGAGTGGGATTAGGTGATAACTGCTGGGAACTGATGATATTACAATAGAGGACGCGTGGATGATGTGATGAAAGGCAGATCTGGGGATTGATTTGAAATATGACGTGGAGGAATACAATTGGCTGAAAATAAGTTGTTAAGGGTCCCAGTGTCCTCCAATGAGAGTTACGACTTTGGAAATGTCTGTGTCTGTCTTTTTCTTTTTTAGCGGGTCAAACATGGCATCATCAAGGATATCCTACCCTTTGGTAAAAAATAAATAAATAAATAAACATCTATTTAGCGTAAAAATGTTGGAACAAATTTAAAAAATTTAATCAACAAATAATTAATATAATTGATTAAAATTATTTTATTCGATGAAAAATTTTAGGTTTAAATTTTATTATTGATCATTTATTGAGATAATCTTAAATATATGATATATAACATTTATTTTAAATTATTAAATACAACACATTTTATTATAATTTAAAATTTTAAACAATTTATTTATTTTAAATATTTTTTAAAAAATAATAAAAGAAAATTATATACCTATAAAATAAATTGGACAAATAGTTTTAATTGCTGGCTAAATTGAAAAATGTGTCAAATTTAGGGCGTTGAAATTAAATTAGAGAAGAATGTAATAAAAGAGAGAGTATAAGGTTTAGAGAGAGAAAGTTTTACAAGTCTAATTTGATTTTTTTTTTTCTTTTATATATGTGAATGCTTTGACTATGTATTCAAACATTTTGTTCAATAACCTATTCATATTTTCTTGCTTGACAAACAATATTTAAGTTCTTTTTTCTAAAATGAAAAAATATTAAAACTTATAAATTTTATATAAATTGTGCATTACTTTTATTATAACTAATTAATTAATTAATTATGAAGTGAAAAAGTGACAGAATGGGTAAGGAGAGGGTGAAAAAGTGGAAAAAAAATTAATTGAGTGCTTTTTGGTAAGAAGTAAAATTAAGAAAAAAGAAAATATGAAAAATGACTATTTTCGCACATATTCACAAATATAAATCATTTCAAATTAAAATAAATAGGAAAGAAAAAAAGGATGTGATTGTATATTGTATATTTACAAGATTTTCCATTATATTTAAGATTTTTTTTCATATTATATTACAAAAGATTATTATTTATAAAAAAAGTTTTAATGGTAAAATATTACTATTTTAATTTTTTTTCCTTTTTAATTTTGCCAAGTAATGAATGAAAAGAAAATTATTATTTTTTAACTTTTTTTTTACTAACCAAGACACTAATAAAAATTAGGGATGTTAATGGATAAAGTATGGATAACATAGAGCATACTCCATTTTCATTTTTAAAATTTTATATTATACTAATTTTCGTACTTATATTTAATGAATATTTTAATATATATCTATTTTCATCTCTATGGGTATTTAATGAATATGGATAATCATCATACCCGTAGCTTAAAAAAAATTAAAATTAAAATTTTTAATTTTTATCTTGTATATTTAAATAATTATTTTATAAATATATATTAATATATATTTTTCAATAAAAATATATTAATTCTAATTAATTTAAAATAATAATATATACTATTTAATTAAAAAACATATTTACTAAATATATAAAAATATATATAACGTACAAGTAAGGGACAAATATTATATTACCCTTGCCCATCCTCATATTCAATAAAAATTTAAAATTATACTTATCTTATTATTATATTTATAATATAATACCCATTTCTATCTCTATTTCGAATAAAAAATTAGATTCTCTATTGAGTATGAATAAGATTAACATTCATAATAAATTTTTTTTCCTAATTTTACATATTTCAAAATTTTTATTCACCATAGAAAATAAAACAAGGTTAAATGGATGCTACAAAATGCAATAAATATATATATTTTTCTCTCTCTTGCTTCTTTCTTGGTTTGTTACAACATTCTTGTTCTTTTTAATGTTATCTCTTTTATTTTATTTGGCAATCAAAGTGTTTGTTATCAACTAATGGATTAGATTTCACTTCATTCACCTTGATGTCATTATTACGTAAAATTGTTGTTCCAATAAGGATGGATAAGCATGCAATGCCAATAATTCAAAACTATTATTCATTTCAACAGTGGCCTAATGAATTTTCATGACATCTTGTTGTTTGGTAAGACTATGACATTTGTTAAAGTTGAAAATGGAGGTCATGTACGAGAAGGATAAATAGTAAACATGTCAATTAAGAAAATATATTTTATTTTTTTATCGAAATAAATTACGATATATAATTTTTATATAAAATATAATATAAATATATAAATTTTAATATTTTAAATAATATAAATACACGAAGATTTAGTAAATTGACTCTTTCCGCGTTGATGATTGATAATCACAAACTTAAACATGGGCCGTAGCTAATAGGCCTAGAGGTACGGGCCAAGAACTAAAAAAGATGACCCAAATCTCGAAACCACTTTTATTTTTGTTGTTGGACGAGGCCTAATTTTCTATTATATTCGGATCAAATATAAATGGGTTGAGAACTCTAAAACGATGGCCCAAGTCTCGGAGCCACTTATTATCATAAATGGGCAACATGGACAAAAATTTAATAAAATTGTTTAGATGAAATTTATAAAGTTTTATTTTTTAATTTTAATTTAATAAAATTTAAGTTGATAGATTGATAGAATTTAATATGAAGATTAATAATATCTAAGAAATTCAATATCAAAATTAATAATATATAAAAAATTATTAAAAATATTATTTATAATTTAAATTTGATCGAAATTTATTTAATAATAAAAAATTTTCAATATTTTTATTAAAAAATCTATTTCAATAAATATATATATATATTTTTTAAATTTAGACGCTTGACTTATATGATAACATCTTTTAATCTATTAACTTTAATTTATTTATTTTTAATAAAAAATTTTACAAATTTTACTATAAAACTTTATATAAGATTTTCTCAAGGACTCAACGGAAAGACCGAAGCTTCAGCCCACTTAATGGTTTTGGTTAGGGATAGCAACATGTCATTGTCAAATTTGTCTGATAATTTAAAAGAAACTATCATACAATCACATAATTTTTATTTATTCTAATTGGGTTCTACATGTATTCCTTACGCCACAGTCACATGTAAATTTAAATAAAATAATATTCAATTTACATAAGACGCAATCAATTTTTTTTGGGCATTATAATTTTTTAAGCTCTGTTTGAATGCAACCAGACCTCCAGTGAGATGTCGCAATGTGAGTTGGATATTTAAATTCATACTTAATGGTTGACAGACAGCATATACTGGTAGGTAGCATCCCATGTCCACGACTCCTGTATGGCTACCATTTCCGGCTGGTATGTGGTTATTGACTTGCATGTTGAAACAGAATAATACGGCTAGTTATAGTTAAATCTTATTGTTAGGTTGAGTTGGAACCTGAAAGCTTTTCCTAGGAAAGTTGTTGCTTAAAATAGTGGTTGGGTCTTTGATTTCTAAAGTCATGCCAAACATGTACAACCTTCAAGGCAACTGCAAGTTGTCTGTCACATCATCCTTCTACAAAACCAGCATTCAAAAACTCCAATGGCTGAATCATGACAACTAAACTGCATTAATGGTTTGCAAATGTGGCTTACGATTCAATAATCAACACAAAGAAAGCTGTAGTACAGTTGTGCGGTAAATGCATTGATGGTTCCGTAAGAGCCAATGAGACTAGGATTTTGTTTTTGCAGTTTGTGCTTCGTCTGCCATTGCTAAGAACACCATCCAATGTATATTTTACTGTAACTTTTGTAGTATTTGGTATCATGGGTCTCAATTCTACATGGTACTTGTTAGACAGATTTGATTACTTGAATGCTGACAATTTGACTATTGCTAGATATTTACATGTTGAAAAAATGATGGCCCTGGTCATTCTGGATTTGCATATCAGTTTGAAGATTGTCTGTTAATTATTTAAAGCCTTTGGCAAGATCCGATAAGAATTATATGACTGTAGTGGCAAGCAAATACACATTAAATGGCAACCATTTCACAACTGTAGTTCTTTTTCACCAACATCAAAACAAACAGAAAAGGTTGTATGTTATATGCATGCATTAACACTAATAATAAATGAAGAAACAGTGATGGACTGATGGCCAATATTGCTCTTGTGATCTGGTGTCAACAGCTGAAGTTCCCTTGTTCACAGAAACAATGAATCAGTACTATAGAAACCAGTAGATTGCAGCTTCAATTATCCAATGATAAAGGCTGTCAACATTGATTATTGACAATGGCATTGAGCCCCCATCGGACCGCCTTAACTATCATGTTCTTCATTTGTTCCAACTATGCTTACTGTGGTACCCCAGGAAGACAACAATTTCAAGAGTAAAATTGATAAGTCTTGGCTTGAAGGATGATTTTCCTCAACCCTCCAATGGGTGATAGGACCATCAAGAAAACGCCTAATACAATGCAGATCTGTGAAAAAAAAAAAGGGGGAAAGCCAAATCAGACCAAGTAAAATGGGATTCGAAGCACATTGAAACAAGGAGATTAATAAAATTTAAATCAAGTTTTATGTACCCAGTTAGTCCACCAAGATAAGCTGAACTTTCTTGGTTTGTAGATGGCAAGCCACATGATGCAAGGGAGCTAAAGAACAAAAAGGAAGAGAAAATGAGTAATAGTGAACAAGTACTTTTGTAGTAAGAAGAAAGATGGCATGAACGGAGAATGTGGCTTACAAAATATGTTGTTGGTGCAAAAGCAAATCCTCCGAAAAATCCAAGAAGACCACCGAAGAAAGGGAAGGTAATGCCAACGAACATTGTGAACGCTGCAATAAAGATATGACATAATTAAACTCCTTTAATTCCCTTCCTTTAGTTGATATCAAGACCTCGATCAATTGCATGCAAGTAAGATGAAATGAATGAACAGTTTTACTTACCAACATAAAAATTGCGAACAATGAATCGAAGTATTCTAGTGGGCCTAAAATGTAATTTCTTTACTAGTGCAGTTTCCATCATATCAAACACTGGCATTGCATAGATCTGCATAGACAAAATTTAAAACCAAAATCTAATTGATTATCTGCTAAAATGATAAAATCTGAACAAGGATATTAAAAAGATATTGATTGATAAAAACCTGGTAGCTTCCAATGACATGAACAACAACAAACATGTTAGCCATTGCAATAAGCCATTTTGGTTTCTCCAATGAAATGAGGATGTTGTCCTGGACAGCATTCCCAAACATCCAGTACCCAATTAAAGCAACAGGGAAATAGCACAAGGCCACAACTATATAGGCAATTATAACACCTCTCCACATGGGTCCCTTTGATGGCTTCTCAGGTGTAGATGGGATTGTAGCTTGGATCTCCAAGACCACATTGTGCCCAGCATAGGCAAAAGCGACATCCCCCAAGGCATTGAAGAAGTCGAAAACTGTTCCTGCTGCAGTCTTAGCTTTGTAGCCATATTGTACATCTGGCTGAACACCCTTAGCTAATGAAGCTCCCCAAGCAATAGTTGAGTAACTGTATGTCAAGCCAATCACCAAATCTTGCATTAGCATATCAAATATTAACATTGACTCTTTAATTTTTTTCAGGTTCTGTTTAATTTATATGAAATAGCATATGAAAGGATTTAATACCTCAAGGACATGACTGCAGCTGCCAAGGAGACACCAGCAATGGAGTTGAAGTTGGGAAGGTGAGACAGCACAAAGTGAACAGAGGCAAAAATCATAATGAAATATGTTTGTTTTATCTCTTTGCAGTTTTTGCTGCAGACAGTGTCATGGAACTTCTTCAATGATTGTCCTCCGGTAACCATGTAAACTATGCAGACACCAACTTCAACAATAAGTTGCTGTGGCACCACAATGTAGAGACCAAGCTTTTCACCAAAGGCATATTGACCCAGTTCATGGTATCTATCAAAACGTTTTCCTGGAACCATCTCATGCATCTCAACCATTTGCCATAGGGTATACAGGGTAATAATCCATGATAGGATTAGGATAACTACACCAGGACCCCTGAGATGGTTAAAATATCAGAGTTCCAAACTAACTTCATCAAATAATTACGTAATTAAAAATTTTACTATTTGTTTAAAACTTCCTTGTTTTATTAGGTAGTTTTTGCACTGAACTCTTCAGAACTTACCATCCAAGCTCTGACATGGCATAAGGGAGACTGAGGACACCAGCTCCAACCATAGCAGTGACATTGTGGAAAGCTGAATACCACCATTTTGCATTCCTTGATGAGGTAATTGGCAACCAATCATCAATTGCTTTCTGCCTTGCTAATTTCTCCTCAAACTGTAATTGACAGTTGAACAATTCTCTCAATTAGTTTTAACTTTTGAGTATTGACAGCAATAAATTCATAATTCATAATAACTTATATGTATAGAAAAAAACTGAAAAAGTAAAAGAAAACCAGTTTTCATCAACCAATATCAATGGTTCAATGTTGGCCACCTACTTGGTTCCCACTTCACACGTTTATCTCTATCAATTCTAACAATTTCATTTATTAATATTTGTCTTGCTTAAACGAGATAATAAGAGAGCTCCTACTGCATAGGTTTCGTGTTTGTTTAAATACAGATAACTTCATCTTCAAATACAGACAAACAAAATCCTACAGATTAGACATTACACACTAATAAAAGTAAAATACTTTTGGGTTTCGGCTTTGTCTGAAAGTATTAGAAACAACTAACCATGTGCTTACATGTGAATCCATCCTATAAATCAGATTAACTATAAACAGAAAATTAAGCAAAACTCTACAGAAACATTTTTTTTTCTCAGATATTTGGTTCAATAATTACAAGCTTTAAATGTATGATTACGGTAAAACAAATGAATACGTTAAGTATTGGCTGGAGACTTCATGGCCAGCTGCCACCAGTGAAAAAGGGTACTATAATTTCAGTCAACATTTAATGCAATTCCTTCTTACAAGGGGTTATTACATAATCAGAGTTGAAAATAAGGTGCCGTAATAAAGAAGAAGGTTGAAATTAAGATATTAATAAATTTCCAGTACTGACTTGTGATGAACCACAGAAAGAAAAAAAAAAAAAAGGAACCCGTTGAACAAGAATCATCTTTTCAAGCTCAGGATTAAGCCAAACGTTAGATAGCAAAGAAAAGTTGAAGAGAGGCAAAAATGACCGGAGAATCAAAGTTATCACAGGCAGAGCCGCAGAGACTTCGAGCTTGAAACTGTTTCAATTCCCAAGTTCTTATGATGAGCAAATAATTCAAGAACTATCCTCTCTCTCTCTCTCTCTATATATATATATATATATATTCATGGCATAATCTGACGGTAACCAAAACCATAACCTGACAGAAAACTAAAGAGCTAAAAAGGGCAAAAAACACATCATATAGATACAAAAGAATAAAGTTAAAGAGACAAAACTCTAATAAGTTTGTAAAAGTTTTCATCAACTTTTTTTTTTGGTTAAAAAAAAAGCAAGACAAAACAGTACTGCAATTGCATGCACAAAGGAGAGGTTACAGAAACTTACACTGTTGCCCCTGGCATAATCGTTGTCAGAAGGAGTTTGCGTTCCCATGTCTTAAACACAGCAAAAACAAAGAATGAAAAATTAAAAAGCAAGGATGAAGGTGAAAACCAATGGAAGTTGAACCCTGGAAAAATTTCATCGGGTTTGTTTAGCATTTATAAAGGAAGAGGGGACTCACAGAGTATCATGAAACGTGGCGTTTTTCATGTTTTTGTTTGACTTTACAAATTCTTCATACAGACCAAAAAAAATCTAAATATATTAAAATTGGATATAAAGATTTTTATTGTGGTAAATCTATAATAATATAAAATTTTATTAAAAGAGTAAAAAAAAAATGAAATTGATTTTACTTAAGAAAAATATTATTATTTGTTTTAATCACTTTTGTCTCAATATTTTTCCTTTTTGATGTGTCAATAATCTATTGACTTAAATATAATATCATACTTACTCATGAAATGATAGATCCACTTTTAAATTTATGAAATAATTATATATTATATCAAAGAATATATATTTATTTATTTAGAAGAATCAATTTTCAATGTAAAATTTTTTAGTTTTACGTTTTTTTTAATAATTAATTTTAATAAATTTAAAGAATGAAATTATATCATATTAAAATTAATAATTAAAAATATAAAAATTTTTTAATACAACTTGATCCTTCTCTATTTAAATTTGTTTTATTTGTTATACAGTAGTTCAAAGTGTCACACACTGCTGAATATACTTTTTTGTCAGATAAATCCGTACAAATGCTCTAAAAACTATGGTGATAGCAACCATTTCATTAAAAAAAAAAAAATCAGCATTGGAAATTTGAATGTAGCAACATTATTTTGATTAAGCTTATACAACTCAATGAATCAATAATTAACAAGAAAACCACCCAGATCTCAATCATGATTATAATTTCATATTTATTCAAATTATTCTGCTAGTTTGGACCAATCACAGTTGAGAAATTTTGCCAAAGCATTAGCTAGTCAATGCAAACAAGAAAAATAGAGTATAATTCCTTCACATGTAAGGAAATTGCTATAACTAATACCCTGTCTTAGCCAGATTATATATTCACAGTATTTTGCAATTAAATTTCTCAGAAACCAAACATATTCAAAATATCAAGGAAAAGAAAAAATTTTCATTTCATCCACCAATATGAGCTATGATAGGGCTTATTAAAAAAAGTTTGCAAAATTTGATTTTGCTTTTTAATTTAAGCGTGTCTTCAAATTTAATTTGTATGAATTTAAATTTTTCGAACGATTTTAAAAATGCATTCATAATTTTTATGCTAAAATAATTTTTAAAATAATTTTTTGAATCTCTAGCCGTCCAAAATTGATTTTAGAAAAAGCAGTAAGACCACAAAGAAAGCTAGCCACCTAGTTGATGAGAAGGTCGACTTTGTTGGGTTTTTTTTTTTTTCTTTCTCTCTCTCTCTCTCTCTTTTAAGTTAAAGCACATTGAGATTCTTGTTTCTTTGCTCGAATCTCATTTTTTATTCTTTCAATCCAACCAATTATATATAAAATTTAGTAGTATTATGGTTTTGATGTGGGCGGTCAATTAAGGCACAAAAAGATTGCATTGAATCTTCCTTGTTCACACACTAAAAAGATTGGAGTGTGGGACTCAATTACCGAAAGATTTGATAATTTGAAATTTAATATCATGATATTATATAAATATAATATGAAAATATTATATAAAAATAATACAATTTAAAATTTTAATAATAATTATATATAAATTTAATAAATATAAAAAATATATTTTTTATAATTTTTATGTAAAATATAATATAAATACATGAATTTAAATATTTTATACGATATAAATATATGAATTATTAGATCTAATTAATATTGTAATATTTGAAAATCCACCAAAACGGTTGCTATGAAACTATGATACTCATTTTCAAATCAAGTATTTTAATCCTTAATTAATTTATTAATATCAAAGGGATCAAAACTAGATAAATTAAGAATTAAACTTAGTCTAATAATCATCACATTTTTTCGAACGAAGTTATAGTAAGAGAAAGGTTAAGCTTAATTCATATGTATAACAATAATAAAGATTTTGATTTTTATGCCTAATATAAAGTGGGACATGTGGCTTTTGTAAGTGATACAATCATGTGTTTTGTTTTTATTATCAGGTGATGATAAAATCATGTGATTTGATTTTTTTTTCACTCACCCGCTCGCTCATATTAAAATTTTATTTAAATGAGTGGTGAAATTGATTTTAATAAAATTAATAATAATAATAATAATTATTATTATTATAATAATAATTAAAAAAATTATTGTAGTTGTAATTGAAAAATAAATTTTAATAAAATATTTATATTAAAAGAATTTTATTAAAATTAATATTTAAATTTAATTGATAATATGGTAAATTTATCTATACTTCATCGAAAATAAGGTAAAATTCAAACCTAATTTAAATATAAAAGAAAGAAAAAACCATGCGGAAATAAGCCAAATTTGTGGAAATTTCAAACACAATTACACATGCGAGGACTAAGGCTATAAATTTCTAGTCAAACACCTAATTCGATGGGACACTTGCTTTTTGTTTAGGATTCGAGCGCAATTTGTCTAACAAATGCGTGTGTGTGTTAGCCGTGGTTTGCCGGTGTTGACTTTTCTGTGTGTATGTGTTTGTCGAGGGCTCGTCCTTGCCCCACATGGATACCAATTTTCCTTGTTGCTTAACTCTTATATAAAGAAACCAATATTTTTTATTAAAAAAATTTCAGGTAAAAAAAAATATATTCCGAGATTTAAGTCCTTTTTTTATTATAATAACAATAAATTAAAATTTATATCTCATATTAGATTCTATTGTATAAAAAATTAAAAAAAATTAATCTTATTAGATTGTAATTTTAAAATTTTTTGTATTATTAATTTTTATCAATAATAACTTTTTTTTTATTTATTTCCTTAATAATTATATTATTTTTTATTATTTATATTTACATATTTCGTGTTATATCTTTAAAAGTTTTTATTTTTCTTAAATTTAAAAATTCATTTCTTCTAATTAATATACAAATAAACATATGTTTCATATGTCAAAATTATCTCAAATAATTTTTTTTTTTCAATTCGAATTATCTTTAGTTATTTTTAATTTTTTTAATTTTTAATTTTATTTCTTCTAATCGTATCATAATCCATTTAAATATACTCATTTTAATTACATTCATTTTTTTGTATTATTTTTTAACAATCTAATATAAAAAAAATAATTACAAAAAATTAAAATCGATCAATTTAACCATTTTAATAATAATTTCTTATCAAAATCTTCTTCTTCGAATAAAAATACGCACTAATCAATAAGTCAATTGTTCGAAATATAACATTCTTGCTATGGTATAATTAAAAGATTTGAATATTAAAACTTTAACTCTTCTATAAACAATTGCAAATCAAACTCAAATTGTGTTTAGTAAATTAAGAATGTGACAATTGTTTTCATTTACTTATTCTAGCTTTACAAGCCAAGTTGGGTAATTGTAAATAGAACTCTGATACCCCAAGGAAAAATCTTTGAAATTTCTAATGTGTACTAAAATTCAACTCGTTGATTCAAAGTAACCTTGGTCAGCTCTTCTTGCGTGCTTCATAAATGCAAAACTAGGTAACCGAAACCGCTTCAACAGCTGCAATAACATCGAAACTTATCCAAGAAAAAGATTACAAGATTTTCCTCCTTTGAATTATATATCTGTCGTCAAGTGTCAGGTAGAGGTGTTTTTCAAACAAAGTTATCTGAAAAGATGGAAAATTTTGTCCCTTTAATTATTGAAAGAATTAAAATGTCAATGGTAAGGGCGAAGAATAGACTCATGGCTGTTGGAAGATCGTGTTTGGATTTACCCTGATGATGTTTACAGGAAGGAATTATTTGCTTAATTAGTGACGTTTACTATCATTTATTTATTTTTCTAATTGTTTCAAATCTAATTATATAATAAGATTCAAATAGCCGAATATGAATAAATTTAATTTTATTAATAATTATTTATTTATTTTTAATATTATTCGAGATTGATTTAGATTTGACATTATGTTTGAATATAATTTATTTAAGTTAAATGAATTTGACAATTAATATATTTATGAATATATAACGGTACATGTTTGCAATTAATTTAAAATTTGTTTGTTAATAATAAAAAAGGATATCCAAATATATTTAAACAAATAATCTTATTGTTCATAACAAACTATCTCTAAAAATAATTCAAAATTAAAAAAATATAAGTAAATGTATGAATGAAGAAATGAAATAATAATAATAACATATATTATTATTTTATCATTGAATAATAAAAGAGTTATAAAGTAGAAAAATATAACCATCATTTTCATTTTCAAGAGAATCATGTTGACAAGGTCGCAAGCAATCGTATTGATCAATTTTTAGAGAATTAATTTGCATGGAAGCTTCATATATAAACTATACATTTATGTACTTAATTAGTGCTAGATTCTTCATACAATTGAAGCATTGATGTTTTACATTTGTACTTACCACGTTTAAAAAAAAAAAGAAATATTTGTCACAATTTTCCTCCCTAATCAACCGACCTTCAATTAAATATATTATAACCCGATATTTTTTAAATTTAGAAAATATATGTCAGCATCTCAATCATTTAGAAAAACAATTAAACATGGCAAAAGTTTTTTTCAAATGTAGGTAACCACCATAAAAAATTAACAAAAATAATATTTAAAAACAAATGAAATAAAAAATTAAAATTAATATCCGTGTGATCTATTCATAGAGTATTGAATTTTTAATTTTAATAATCTTAAATATAAAAAAATAAAGAGATTTAAAAGTTGTATATCAAGTCTTGAACTATAAGGAAAAGGAAAAATTACATCATGATTTAATTTAGAGTTAATTCACAATTATTCATTCATATTATCAAATGTTAAAAAAATCCTCAAGATCTGCTTTTGCCAAGTTGGGCTTGGGTTGACTTGCTTGCAATTATTATATTGGGCCCATATCGACGTGGTCTCAACTCCTAAAGGCTAAAGCCTGCAGGCTGAAGCTTAAGGGCAAGGGCATCTATGTTGGGCTAAC